CATTCGGCTAGAAGGTGAAGATTCTTCACCTAAGGAAGGTGAAGAACATGGTCATTGCAGATGGATGTATGACTTTTTGCTGTCTGGTGGCCTGTTTGCATAGATTGTATTTCATAAATGTGCAAGAATTTCATGTTTTCTATTTCTAGAACAAATAAAAACTACATATTACAGAAAATATAAAAGACTTGGAACAGTTTTTATCTGCAGAAGCAGATAATCCAATCTGTTTTCTTCGGAATGTATTTGTCAGACTGATATTTGGACGACCTCCTCCTCCTCCTCCTCCTCCTCCTCCTCCTCCTCCTCCTCCTCCTCCTTGAGAATTTTTTTTTTTTTTTTAACTATTTTAGTTGTAGGCCACAATACCTTTATCTTATTTAGTTATTTATGTGGTGCTGAGGATCAAACCCAGGGAGTCACACATATAGGCGAGCGCTCTACCGCTGAGCCATGACCCCAGCACTCTTTTGAGAATTTTTTTTTTTAGTTGTAGATGGACACAATATCTTTATTTTATTTATTTATTTATTTATATGTGGTGCTGAGTACCGAACCCAGTGCCTTCCATGTACGAGGCGAGTGCTCTACCACTGAGGCACAGCCCCAGCCCCTCTTTTGAGAATCTTAATGGAATGAGATTAAGCAGCAGCAGGTGTCATTCATGTATGCATTCCTTGGGGCTGTGGCTATGGCATTCCTTTATCCAATGTGTATCTGAGAACCTCCAGATGTGGTAGGCACTATGCTATATCACTATGCTGGTCATGGAGATAGCCTTCTGGTAGCAGACAGATAATACATAGTAAGGTACAAAGAATGGCAACTCCCACACAGAAACAAGGTAATGCAGTAGAGAACAACTCTGAGATCTATGAAAGGGAGGTGGGGAGGGGAGCTACGTTTGTAAGGAAAGGCCTCTATGAAGTAGTGACAGCTGCACTGAGACCTAAAAATTGACAAGGAGGCAAACACATGAGGCAAAAGCAAAGGCCCTGAGATGCAAGTTAGTTAGTCCTGTTTGTGAAACTCTAGTGTGCTGGGCCTAGTGTGACTGGAACAGGTGGAAAATGGAGACAGTGGTCAGAACTGAACTTGGAGAGGTCATTTAGATGTTAATAAAGAGTTCAAATTTTGTCCTAAGTATGATATGGAACCACTGGAAGGTTTTACCTGGATAGATTTGGATTTTTCAAAAGATCATAATCAGGTTTTGATGTTATCAGCTTTGGTCAAATGAAGATCTTTGGCATCCTCAGGTGTTGCAATGGTATGGTCTTCCCCAATTTGTAAGCTAACATATATTTAAGATGTAAGTATAAGGACCTTCAAAAAACTTCTGATATTTCCTTAAAGTTTTTTTTTAAAAAGAATAATTCCATAATGTTTTTAAAAAGAATAATTTAAATTTCAGAATAATTCCAAAATTTTCCCTCTTTTTCTTTTCTTCTTTTTTTCTTTCTCTTCTTCCCTCCTCACCCATCTTTCTCTCTCCCTTATTCATTCATTCATTCATTCCCTCCCTCCTTTCTTTCTTTCTCTTTCTGTTGCTAGTACACGCTTGGTGCCTAGTGGGTTATCAGGCCCAAACTTGATAAGGATGTCCAAAGCACTGGAGACCACTGTAATCTGGCTCTGCAGGTAAACTGTCTCTCTAGAACCTTCTCCAATGAAAGGACCAGTAGAAAATGGGAAAACAAGTTATTTAAGGTTCCTTCTAAATCCCCCGTTGGCAGTAGAATATTTGCTGATGAGGGAACATCATTCTAGCCAGACTGACAGCTCCTTAGGGGCAGCTGGGCCCCTCGCTCTTTGCATTCCCCACCTTAGCCCAGCACAGATTACAACAGCTTTTTTTTTTTTTCAAAATAGAATTCACTTTCATACTATGAATATGAAATGGGAAATTGTTCTGTGCTCTTCCTTGAAAACTGTGGAAAAAAAATACATGGCAGCTTAGGTGTTTAATGTTAAAAAGTAACATGACAATGAAGACAACTATACCCACTGCACACAAAGGAGCCTCCTTACAATAAATGCTCCAGAGCATTGCAATTCTCTTATGACTGCCTTTGGTGTAGTATGGGATGTTCATGAATTCATAAATTAACTTTTAACATCAACTACAGACTAACAAATGACAATCAGATACAGTAAGTTAGATACTCAAATCAGAAGCAAAGAATACACCAGCTTTTGAATAATAATTTTAAAAGAAAAAAAAAGTAAAAACTATTTGCATCAAATCTATTCCTAGTTAGGAAAGTGTATCTTAAAAGTAACTACAGTAGCTGAAGGAAATATAAACCATACCAAAAAGCAGGTCTTGAAGGAACAATACTAAAAATAGTATATTCAAACAAATTGCATGGAGATTTGGATTGAAAAAGAACATAGAACACTATGAGCAAACTGAAACTGCCTTGGATTAATCAGAAGCTCTTGAAGAGGCAGAGAATTTCCTTTGATTATCTGCTCCAACCTCATAGTCTGCAACATTGTCCAGAACATAAATACTTATTAAATGAATAAATGTGCTGTCCTGTTAGAAAAAGACATAAAAGAATACAATTATCTTTTTCTTCTATTAGAAGTTGATTCGAGTTCTTTTTAACATGTTCTAATTGTAGCACTAAAGAAAACATCTCTTATGCAGCTGTAAGTAATTTATTTTATGCAGAGCACTGCCAAAACATGATATTTTAATCCCATTAGGGATAAATAACAGAATGCAAATAGTTCTCTTTCTCATGACTTGAGGCCTTGTTCACTAGCCCTGTAGGTCTCTGGTGCTAGAGATGCCTGGATATGTCCACATGACATCTGGCTGTCTCCACAGAAACAAATTTATTTAGCTAATTTAATACTTCTTGGTGAACTATTAATAACTAGTTGTTTCTCAGAGATAGTTTTCTCTAACTCTATGAATATTCCCAGTGATGTAAAATATCAAAAAGAAAAAGACCCATATTTGAATAGTAAGTTAGCATAATGGTGGAACAATCAGATATCACTGATGGCAACATACTTTCTAAAACAGAAATTGATTCAGTTCTGTTCCATAAATATTTACTTAGAGACTGCTATGTGCTAAGCAACATAATAGTCACTGGAGATACAAAGTTGAAAGGGACATAGATTGTCAAGTACTTCAGTCTTTGCTTAAAGTGTGGATAGAGTCAGTTTGTGAAGATTGCATTTATCTCATCATTACTTAAATACTTATTAAATAGTTACTAAGTGTCAATTTTTCAGATATATTCTGAGAATATAATAAATAACACTTTCTTCAGGTCAGAGAATTAAAATGCCCTTGAGTTCTGGGACTATTTGAAGGAAAGAAACTAAATGTTTTTGTTTTTGTTTTTGTTTTGTACCAGAGATTGAACCCAGGGGTGCTTAACCATTGAGCCACATGCCCAGTCTCTTTTTTCTCTTTTATTTAGAGACAGGGTCTCACTGAGTTACTTAGGGCCTTGCTAAATTGCTGAGGCTGTCTTTGAACTTGAGATCCTCCTGCCTCAGTCTTAGCCTCTGGGATTATAGGCATGTGCCACCATGCCCTGAGAAACTATGTATTTTGACGAATTATTATGTGCCAGACACATTTAGAAGGGCATCCCTATCTATTCTTTCTTAATAGCATCCACTCCTACCCCTTATCACACCCTTGCTCACTTTTTCCCCCCCATCATGCTTCATTTTTCTTAATCCACAAGCCCCAACTGACCTTGTCATTGCTCTAGCCCCAGCTCTGAGTAGTAGCAGGCACATAGTAGGTTTGGAGTAGTCATTGCATGAATGAATGACAGGTAAGAATTCTGATTCTACTAAATGAGACCAAGATTTATAACTTAAATAATTTGTCCATGATTTTGTAACTCTTAAGCCACAAATATGAGATTTAAATTTAGGTGTGAAGGCAATGTTGAAGTTTTTTTCTACAGCCAGTCCTATAGATGCATATATCTTTACAGAGTTACTAATCAGTCTTTATAGATAAACACTGATAGTGAAAGGCATTCAGCTCAGAGTTACAGAGAAGTTCTTACCCTCAAGAGCCTGATCTATTTAGGAAGAAAATTTCTGGAAATCCAGTGACAAGCACCAAGCAGCATCTAAGTGTGGAAGGAAACTCAGGGGCGATAAGTGGGAAGAAGGGGATGCTGAGGAACGCTTTCTCTTGGCGGAGTCTGTTGTTTGAGGAATACAATAAATATTTCTTCAAAGTATAGGACTATCTACATCCCTCTCTCCAGCCTTTGAGTCGGAGTCCCTCTTCCCATTTAGTGCTAAAGTAGAGTAATTCTCCCCACTTTGAGCAGAGGGGAGATAGTGGAAAGTAACAGAAGAAAGGCACGTTAGGGAGGGAGTTAGAAGGTTTATGGGCTTACCAAGAAGTGAAAACAAAGAAAAACTGTTGTAGGAACTGAGATAGTTTTGCCCCCCCCCCCCAAAAAAAAAGAGAAAAAACGTGGAGGTCTGGGTGGGAAGTTCTAATTTCAAACAGCTTCCCTATGGGAAAAGTCGAAGTTTGGTGAGTGCCCCTACTCTTCCTTGGTAAATATTTGAACTTTCCTGCACTTGAAGAACTGACTTCTCTTTCTTGAGGAAAGGGTTTAGATGGATTTAAGCTCTTTTGCATAAACGGTGGAAGCAAAGACCAAAAACCTGATAGAAACACAAATCTTGATACGAAGAGATATTTCATAAATGAACAGCACAAACTGTCTCAGGAGGTTGTGAGCCTGCACACTTCAGAGTTTTCAAACCCAACCAGGCCGCTCCCTGGGGAATCAGTTCCCCTGGCCCCGTGGTCCTAGGTCATCCGCGGGGCGGGGACAGCAAGCCAGAGGGAGCTCAAGTCGTCAGTCCCAGCTGCAGATCCCGGGTTCCCCAGGTCGGGGTGGGGTGGGGTGGAGCGGGACGGGCTGGAGGGAGATCGCTCTGGTGAATCAGTGGGTGCGGGTGCGGCTGGCTGTACGGGAAAAGCACGCAGCATGCTCTCGGCCGTCGGGAGCCTCCTGCGCTTGGGCTCGGGGTGCGTGGTCCGCTGCGCCCCAGGGGCGTCTCGACCAGCAGCCGCTCGGCTGCGGGTAACCGCTCTCCAGCTCTGTGGTCTCCCTCGCTACTCCAGTGGTGAGACCCGCAGCGATCCTGATGCCCAAAGTCACGGTGAGCCAGTGAAAGGGAGGGACTATCTTGGGGAAAAGGGGACTAAGGGAGGCTGGGCGAGGGGCCCAGGGCTGAGGGTCGAGGCTTGATCGCGCTTATCCTCCGTGCCTTGGGTCCGTCATTACCTCTGTCCATCTTTGTCGCTTTTGCTGCAGGGAAGGTTCACAGGGTCCTCGCCCAGCACAAGCCCACACAATTCGACAAGAAAATCCTGGTGTGGACCGGCCGTTTCAAATCGATAGAGGAGATCCCGCCTCGGGTTCCGTAAGTGTGGGGGATGTCTCGGCCCAGGTTTCGGGAGGCCATACCCTGGGGCCAAGGAGCAGGGCCAGTTTTTCACACTCACACCCGCCACCTTAAGAAAATTACTACCCCCACCTCCGATGCATCAAATCCCTTGACTGGACAGTGGGCACCTAAATTTATAGGGAGATTGCAGAAGTTGCAGATTTCGGAAAACCATTGGACACTTCTATTATGCCCACATACCCAGAACTCCCAGATCATTTAAGCCAAACACAAGGCACGGTTCTCGCCAGCACCCTGGTGACTTCGGGGGCCCTGGAGAGCGAGAAGGGGCCCTGAACTTGAGGAGTCGCCGCTAAATCAAGGAAAAAGTTCCCTGATCATGGCTTATGGAGTTGCTGGAGGGTCTCTGGGAAGAATCTTCATCCAGGCAGCCTCCTCCTCTGCGGAGGGAGACTGCCTGTGGTGAACGTGATTCTGCAGCCCTCTGGGTACCAGGTTTACTGGAGTTGGGACACATAGAAGTATCCTCATTGTCCTAAGCCCATCAAGACGGTGGCTAAATGATAAAACTCAAAACTAGCAACTTCCCAGCCAGGGTAATGTCACCTCTAAAAAATAAGTACATGTAACTTGCAAAAAAAAAACATCATTACATCATTTCAGTTAATGCCACCACCACTCCACCCTACCCCCGCCAAATTTACAGGACTTTTACAAGAGAAGGGGTACAAAAGAGAAGGAAACTAAGAATAAAATCAATCTGCTAGTTTTAAAACTGATCGTTAAAAAATAGGAAGTCTGAAGCGACAATGCTGAAAAAAATTAGAGATATTCTATATATTGTATTTTACTCATTAGAATGCTCATTAGAATACATAGATGATGGAAACGGGGCTTGTGTCTTGTTCTTCACACGTCGCTTTTAGTTTTGGTGCTCCTTAGTTTACCAGTTACTCAAAGCACCTCAAATAAATGGGGGAGAAAAAAACATGTGGTGGAAAAATGTATTCTCAACAATGAATTCTGAAGCATTTTTATTCCTTTTTGGATTCAGAGTTTTTTAAATTGGAAACGAACATGAAATTGAAATAACATGGCTTTTGGAGCCTATTTCTGTATTTATTCAACAGTAGAGACATTTGCTGTTATTATAAAACAAATCTTGTTTTGCTTGGTATGAAGATTGTAAAAAAGCAGCCCACTGTAAATTAATGCTTATAAAGAGATCCTATGCTTAATTCAGTATTAACATAGTTAAATGTGGGAAGAGACCCATTTTACCAAAATAATTTAATTTCCTAAGGATTACAGTCAAAAGACATATTATGAACAGGAGCATTTAACAATGAACAAGGTGCCATGTTTGTAGTTGTAGATGTTTGTAGTTTTAAACAAATTTTTAAAGTCTTACTATTTAGGAGGGATATTCCTGTTGTTAGTTCTGAAATATAAACAACTTTCCCTTTTTATGCTCTTAATGGACATGTAATTAAGTGACCTATAATTTTTGTACCATACACTAATTCTATTTAATAACTATGCTATTTTTTTAAATTTTTGCTGTGTTAAACTAATTTGATATAATAAATCAAAGCCAGATGGATAGGTCAAAAAGATAAGATCTTTTAAGTTCCATCTGGAACAAAAGGTAGCAGGAAATAAAACCTAATAATGTCTCCATAGACACTAATTGAACCTGTTCACAACTAACATCTTAAAATTTATGTAATTCTGCCCAGAAATCTAAGGAAAATAAGCTTCATATTGCTTTCTGTAACCTTTCAATTAGTAGAAAAGTTAGTTTTTCATTTTTAAGAGAAATTGTAACTTGTCTTCCTGGAGAATTTTTAATGTAACTGCACTGTATTTAAATTTGACATTAGGCAGAAAAGAATGTCATTGAACATATTCTCAAGAATCAAGTACTTTGATTATGCATATTTATAAACTGCCACTTCATATTATTGCAAATTTCAAAGTTTACAGTTAATTTCAATATAAAAGTTCTCTATCCGTGATTCTTCTTGTAACATTACTTTGTAATTAGTGTTGCTAAAATCCTGGACAACTAGAATGTAACTATTAATAAGATAGTCCAGTACTTTAATGAGTATATCACACTTCAGAATAATAAAAAAAATGAAGGTGCCTTTGTTTTTTTCTTTAACAAATTATTATAATTTGGGTCACTTCTTTTAAACTTCCTGCAAAAGCTATGAAGGAAACACCCTTTCTCTAATAGTCATTCATAATATAATAGTGTCTTTGGATAATAGGATGGGAGGGGGCAAGAAGAGATTGGAGCTGGGTACTGTGGTGGTGGTGCACACCTGTAATCCCAGTGACTAGGGAGGATGAGGTAGAAGGATCATAAATTCAAAGTAAGCCTCGGCAACTTAACAAGACCCTGTATGTACATAAAATATAAGAAGGACTAGGGATGTGGCTTAGAGGTTAAGCATCCCTGGGTTCAATCCCCAGGAGAGAGAGAGAGAGAGAGAGAGAGAGAGAGAGAGAGAGAGAGAGAGATTGGAAGGCTAGTGAAAAAAGCAAAGTGTTGAAAGTGAGTTTTAAAGACTAACCCATTTAAAATGAAAACCCAAGGCCTATTTAACATATAAGCTAAATTAATATGAATCATAGACATACACAGGCTGTAACCCTTATTCCTTTTGGTGAATAAAAACCACAGTTGGACCATAATCTCTTGTATTTATATTTTGAGCAATTAGAAACTAAATATACTAGACAGTGATCTCATGGTGGTTAATTATTCTAAGATCTGAATAAATAACTGCTAATTTAAAATTGGTAATACTAATGGACTAGCATTTGAATGATTTTCATGTCTGTTTTGCATTCAGGGATATTTTTTGAATATCCCTTTAACAAATAATTATCATGACTATCAGAAAACTGTATTACTTTAACATAATTAACAAAATTCATATCTTGGTTTAGGCCTGAAATGATAGATGCTGCAAGAAACAAAGCCCGAGTAAAAGCTTGTTACATAATGATAGGACTCACAATTATTGCCTGCTTTGCAGTGATAGCATCAGCCAAAAGGGTGAGTGCCTGCTTAAAGACAGATCTGTTGTGTGCTGGGATGTAGCTCACTGGTCGAATGCATGCTAGGCAAATGTGAGGCCATGGTTCAACTCCTGCACTACAGAAAAAGAAAAAAGACTGAATTTTAAGGAATGTTATGACATATTTTCAATTCCAGGATTATGGCCATTCATTACTGTAAGACAAATTTATCTTTTGAAATCTGGTATCTTGTATCTATCATACTAGAAATAAATTTATGCATAGAAATTTGGGCCAGTAATTTAACTATATGGCCAAGACAGGGGTGGGGACTTTTTTTCCACTTGTAAAATAAGCAGAAACAAAACCAGGACAGTTTATAACCTAGTTGAAAATCTGCACAAGAACTTTGTCCTGTGAAAATTATGCAGACTAGATAGATGGTTTCTTACATTATGAACTCAATTAGCTATTGCATAGAATTAAGAAAAAGAACTATACAAGTCGAAGTGATTGCCAAGGTCATCTAGATTGTTTGTGTCCTGTTTGTGAGTGCCTGCTTGCCAACTTCAATGTATGGTGTATGTTTGATACGGTTAGAGAGAAGTTAGGAGCTGACAACTTTAGAATTTTGTTCTCTGCCTTCCCAAATCTTTCCATCTGCTGGTCACTTTTTACCATCAATAGTAGTCCCCAAAATATTGGGAGATGTGTAACACTGCTGAGTCTCCCTTCTCCAGTCTTAACTTCTCTCTCTTTGCCAGTCTCCATGTAGGAGCTCTCTTTGGACTCTAACTTACCATCCTAGAATCCCTTTACATTGTCACCTGAAACTGAACCCAGGGGACAGATGATGGCTCCACCAGTTATGCACACTGCATTTCAGTCATGCAGCCACACCACAAAGAATAGCTTTCCTGGATACCTAAATCTGGGTATATTTAGCCAATCTTACTATTACTATTCCCTACGTGTACTCTGGATACATTTAGCCAATCTGCCCAATCCTATGGTTCCATCCTTTACCTTTCAGGTTCTCAAGTGAATCTGAGCCCACACTTCATATAGGAACTAGGGCCCATAAACATACTTTTATGTAACTATCCAGTCATTCCTGTTAGCTTGGAAAAAAACATATTTCTTTCTTATCAAATGGGAAACTTTAAAAAACACTTTGGACTGAACACTAATACAAAGAAATGCAATTATCTCTTGTTTTCAACCTACTCTTCATAAATGAAAGCCTGCTAAATTGATTTTCTAGTTTCCACAAATCTTTACATTGTTAGAACACTGAGACTTCTATAATAAAAAGACAAACACTGCTTTCAATTTTTACTCCCTTCACATAAATGCTTACTTTTCCTGCCTGTTCCTGGGATAGTGAAAGGAGTTTTAGTCATATCTTCCCTCTTCCTGATTTCTTCAGCTTTGTAGAAGTAGCTCAGCTCCATGCTCAGAATCCAAATCCTGGATTAAATTTCCAGTCCACAGTTGTCAAGGCCAATATTTTCCCCCAATGCCTCTGATTAAAACCATTTCCTTCCATGTGGTTTCAGCCTCTCCCATTCCCCACCAATTCATCCTTTGAGTTACTTTCATTTCTGACACCTGAGGAATTCCCTTTACTGATTTGGAGGTTAACTATTTGAAAATGTCTTTGTTATATTTTATTCAACAAATCTGTGTGTAGTGAGAGGATGGGGAAAGATTTCTGACATCAGCTCTTCTGTCCACTACAAGTTTAGCAACTTTTTTTTTTTTTCATACCAAAGAAACATTGATCATGAATATTATTCGTGACAGACATTCTGGTTTTTTTTCCTCTTTTTCCTTTTACAAAATCTCTTCTATATGTTTTACTAAAACACAAGGTACTCCAGAAAGTGACAATGCTTTGTTTTGGTTTTTGTGCAGGCTGCAGAACGGCATGAATCCTTAACAAGTTGGAACCTGGCAAAGAAAGCGAAGTGGCGTGAAGAAGCTGCATTGGCTGCACAGGATAAAGCTAAATGACATTCTGACACAGCGTTCACTTGAATACCATCATTATTATCAAAAACAATAAAAGACAGGTCAAATAGAACATGTTAAAAATATGTCATGGTTTTATTTTTGCAGCAAGAAACAAAGTCTTTTTATTCATATTTTAAAGTAAATTTTATTGAAAAAATAGTGCACAAAAAACTATATATAGTTTGATAAAAGTCTCAGAGAACACACTTGTATAATCACTGCCCAGGTCAAAAAGTAGAATATTAATAGTTCCTCTGAAGGCTCTGTGCTCTTTCTGAAGTCGTCACTCCCAAAGGTAACAATGATTTTCACCACCATACATTGGTTTTGCCTGTTTTTGAACTTTATATAGATGGAGTCACAAAGTATACACCTTTGTGGATTCTTAACATTATGTTGTGTTCATACACAAATAGTATATAGTTCATTCCTGTTATTTGCTTTATACTCTTCAACTGTATAAATATGCCAGTTTACCTGGATACTTGGTCCAGCTTTTGGTTACCAGAGAATGTTAAAATGATCACTTTGTGTCATTAAAATTAGCTTTAAACTAAACCATTTAAGGGCTCTCTAAAATCAAAATGTCAGTGATCTTTAAACTCGTTTGAATAACACTAATTTAACTTTTTTTCTAATATTTTTATTAGTTATAGATGGACACAATGCCTTTATTTTGTTTATTTTTTATGTGGTGCTGAGAATCGAACCCAGTGCCTCACAAATGCTAGGCAAGTGCTCTACCACTAAGCCACAACCTCAGCCCATTAACTTTTTAAATTATATATATCATCCCTATACTTTCTTAATTTGGCATCTACATTTTAAAATCGTGAATATAAATTTTTATCCTCACAAGGTACTTTTCTTAGAAAATATTTAGAATGAAGGTCTTAAATATCCTAAAGGAAAAAAAAAAAACTATAAAAAATTCAAAAGGGCCTGGGGTTGTGGCTCAGTGGTAGAGTGCTCACCTGGCACGTGTGAGGCCCTGGGTTCGATCCTCAGCACCACATAAAAATAAATAAAAATACAGGTATTGTGTCCAACTGCAACTAAAAAGTAAATATTTAAACAAATCCAAAGGGAATAAAGATTGATAATTATAAAATTAAGGGCAGAAACTAATGAAATAAGTTAAAGGTTACAGAAGAACAATGTAACTAAATCTGGCAAATTATTTAGATACAAAAACCCCATAATAATATTAGAAATGAAATGATAAAAGGGATTAAAGCCCACTTTTCTTTTTAAAAAAAAAAACAAAAAAACATTATGCATTACTATGCTATTATGTGTTTTTGGCCAAAATGGAGTAATAAGGACTAGATCTACCTCTAGCCAAATATGAAACCAAGAGCAGATATCAGATAGTGAGCAGTGAGTGAAATAAAGAAAAATTAGCTGAGTTCTTTTTACTTGCCATTTTACTTCTAAGAGGAGACTGCAGGACATGGAAGGGAGACCCAGGATGAGATTTGGGCAGAGTTGGGAGGCCAGGACAAACAGAGTTCTCAGAATGCTATCCCCAAGGTGACAGAGCTATACAGACTAGTGGAGATATGCAGAGGGTCCTTGAGTGTGTTTGTTTACTATGTGACCACTACCTACCCAAGACCATCAAAATAACCATCTGAAAGGATATGGAGAAACAAATTACCTGTAATTCATGGAGTATCACAGTATTCAGAATGCAACTGCTTCAGAAATAAAATAAAGGCTGTCCTGTGTCTGCCTCACAAAGTTTAAAAGGAAACCTATAAAAAATCAAGTATTTCCTAAGTGACTTAACAGTATCCCATAAAAAAGTTCAAGAACAAAACAACTAGGCTGATTCTGTACCTTAGTTATTATGAACAGTACTGCAAAATATGGTTGTGTAGGTAATCTCATTGGTATGACTTCAATTCTCTTGGATTTGTAACTAGAAATGGGCTCAATATCATTAGCCATCAGGGAAACGGAAATCAAAATCACAATGAGATACCATTTTCCCCCAGTTATAAGGGCTATTATAAAAAAAACAAAAAAAAAAAAAAAAATCACAAATGCTGTTAGGGATGTGGAGAACACAATACGGAAGTTTCTCAAAAAACTGAAAACAAATTTACCATATGGCTCTTACTATTTTATTCTGACAATCTTTGCTCTTTAACTGAAATCTTTAAATCATTTAAAAAATCACTGTGATTATTTATGTAACTGAATTTAGATCTACCATCTTGCTAATTTTTCTTGGTCTCCTTTTTCCTCTTCTTCCGCCTACTTTTGGATTAATCAAGAAAGTTTTTTATTCCATTTTATCTTCTTTGATGGCTGTATAAAGCAGATGGAATATTAACCAATAATGGCATCTGGTTTTGTTCTCTGTTAGGAATAAACAATCATGAGAACAAATAATTGAGACACATTTACATAAATGCAATTGTAAAATAGCATTTTATTATTTTTAATATAGTGTTGTAACATTTCATAATATTGCATACTGCTCATATGTTGGTTTATTTATTTAAGTAACAATATCCTCCCCCTCAACTGACCCCCAATCAGAATTTAAAGATATATTATTCTTTTAGAATCCTATTATATTGGCTCCTAACATGTCCACATTTCATAAAACAATACTATTAATTAAAATAAATAAAAGTTAGCAAGAATTTGATTTCAGTTTCACAATTAAGCAACCAATAGATTGCCGAATTTAGAATACCAACAAAAAATCCAATAATGCTTTTTTATATTTACTTTTTTCTATAATGCTCCCTCTTAAGAAAAAAAATACAAAGGCAAAGATAATAAATTCTTCTTTTACCCAGTAAATCAACCTTTAACTGCAGACAGGTTTTACAGTTACTAAATTACATGTTTATTTCTGTGCCAGCAGATTTTATTCCTTTCCCCCCGCTTTCTTTCTTGTTCTGGTACTACCAATAATTGAACAAATGACATTGAAATTAAGGACACTAAAAGTTAGAATAACCTTTCAGAATAAAACTGGTCAGTGAGTCAAATACTTACAAAATAAGTAAGCATGATTGCATAGATTAACTAGTAGAAATTTAAATTCAGACAAAATAAAAGACCATATTTAATTCAAATTTAATAAAATGAACTCTTTCAAAAGTATCTTCTTGATATATGTGTTAATGTTGTATACATTCCCTTTTACAACACATTTTTATTTCATTGAATTTCATTTGGCACAGTTTCTCTGGGATGTAAATGTAATGAATCTTACAAAAGCAAATTAAAAAATTTTTTTTTTTTCACAAGGGAGAGTGAAAATTAATGGAAATGCATTTTGGAGCATTTTAAATGATACACTTGAAAAGAGTGGTTCTATTTTTTTCACATTTTTTTTTGTCTTTTTTCTTTTGGACTTAACCCAGGAGTACTTTACCACTGAGCTACATCTCCAGCCCTTTTTATGTTTTATTTTAAGACAGTCTGAGTGGTAGTATTTTTAACAAATTTTAAAAACAAACTCTTGTTCAGTTTGATCTAATAAACTCACCACCAGGCCTAAATTTAGTTAAATGTCTTTGCATTCAAATATAAACAAATTACTAGCCAAGTAACATATCCAAGAAACTAAATATGAGTTTATATTTAAATGGTTAACATTTGTCATATTCTGTTCTTAGAGATATAACATTTATTTTATTGGCAAAACATTTTAAATCTCCCTTGATAGGTCATTCAATGTGTGCCTGCATGTGCATACACACACATATATTATTTTTCTTTCTATAAGGAAAAAAGTCTTTTTGGAAGATTTGGCTCAGAGATTTATTATATTGATTATGGGGTCCTCAAAAGCAGGCACAGCTGGTTAGTTTATAAATTATGCTGCATTATCAAGTTCAATTGAATAGAAAGAGCAGAATACCCTGTCACCTGATGCTTAGAACCATTGGCACCACAAAACAGTTTTTATCTGATAAATTCATCATCAATTTGGCAATATCTAATATAACTACCCTGTTTTTGAATACGCATAATGCAAAAGAAACTTTATATGCAACTACATAACATCCACCATAATAAAAATGGCACAGATACAACCTATTTAACAGTATAAAACAGGATTGGCAGATGAAGTTAGCATTATGGACACCACTTAAACCTGGATTTTTATAGCTGTAGATTTTAAGTATCTTTGCCAAAAGCTTAGTTTCATGATATATAATTTACAAAGTATTATACTACTTAAAAGTACTCCTATATACACCTTCCTTTTGTAACATGCCTCTGATTTCCAGCAGAAACATTATAAATGCTATCATAAATGAAATCTTTCTCTTTATAGAATAGACTATGAATCATATCAAAATTGCTTTAGTTCCCATCTTAAAAGAGGTGTAAATTACATTTTAAATAATTTTTCTAAGTATATAATTGGAAATCTAAATAGAATGCATATAACAATAAATTAAAAGATAATTCAACAGTACCACAACTGCTTAGAAAATTCTTCCATGCACTGGACTGAGAGAGTAATAGACACACGTGTATATATAATATATATGTAATTTTTCTAGTGAAACCTTTCTTTTAAATTTTCAGAGTTTAAAGAGGTTTTTGCTGTTAATTTAGCAAACACACACATTATAGTGACCAATCTGATACAAATGTAATCTAATACATAATTCATAATAAGCAGCAGTATGACTATTACCCAAAACAAAAAAGTTCTAATATAGATTCCAACCATATTAAAGAATCCTTACCAATTTTCCTTAATATCATCACTTACTGCCCAAATATTAAATGCACTTAATATAATGTAATACGTAACAAGGTGATTTCTTCAGGATATTTTTGTCATTCAAGTACTTAAGTTCATCATCACAAAGAGAATAAAACTTTTCAATTACTGCTCTGAAAAGTCAGAGAAATAATACAGTATCATTTTAGGTATGCAGCACAACTTTAGATTCATGATGGCATCACTGTCATGATGCTCTTTAAAATGAACAGTGAAAACATAATAAAACACTATTTCAAAAATGGTAGCACATTTGGTTAAAATATAAAATATACTAGTATAATAGCATTTATATGTTAAAAACAAATATTTAAGTGTTCTGTAATCTTCTTAATGTGCACAACATGAAGAACTGCTTCTCTCTTCACAATTGTGACATCTTAATTGATTATCAGTACAATATTTCTTCTGTTTTATAAATAAATTTTACAGGTTTTCTGTTGCAATTTATACTTGCAAAGTATAACCTACAGCACAGTGATTAATAACTTAAGGTAATAAATATTTTCACATTCTAATTTAGCTTTTACATGATTTCATGCTTTTGAAGCTTTTTTGTTTTTATTTTTGCTTCAAGACAGAGGTAGATTTAGTAGATTGGGTGTGTCAGACTTACTGCCAAAATGCAATTATCAATAGCTATACTGCTATTGTGCAGTTTCCAAGAATACTTGAAAAAATTCAGAATCACTATGTAATACTTCATCAAAGTTCTCCTTTTCAAGCTTCAGTTAAATAATTGCATAATGTATTTAATTGTTCACAGATACAAAAATTCCAATAACAAAAACATATATAGTCACACCAAAACAAACAAAAAAATACTTATAACAAAAGACTACATCTGAATAGACATTTTTGTTTAATTTTTCTTTTTAAAAGTGTGTCAAATTCTTACTTTTCTGTTCTATGTAAAAAAGAAACAAACAAGAAACATTCCTCCTGACACTGGCAACAAAGAGGAAATATCTGAAGCTACCCTTCTTGGCCATTAATTTTTTTTCTCCACCAAGTTAAAGTTGAAATCCTTCCATTGGTGCTTCCTGCTGCTGAAATACAAACTGTTGTTGGTTTTCATCCACTGGAGGTACAATGCTGGGGTCATCTTCTTCTACACCAAAATAATGTTCAATCAGATCAAAGGCCTTTTGGTAAATTTCTTGATTTTCGTGGCTTTGCAGAAACTCAATTTTATCCAGACCTATTATATAAAACACATATATAAAAACAAATCATTTTTAAAGTTTCAGTATATATTTATACAAAACAATAAACCAATAACACACATAACTCCATGGCAACAGGGCTGCTATTTTTACTTAATTTTTGCACATAATGATAGCCAAAACTTATGCCTATTTTGCATATTCTTTCTAAAATCATAATAATACTATTGTAATGAAATAGCCCAAACTCATAACTTAAGGTCAAAATAATGACTGTAGTAAGGAAATATTCTTGTAAATCAGTGATTACTATCTCGTATTGATGTAATATCTTCACCAGCAACATTATGTAATTTGACATAAAGGCAACGTGACATCTCTAGCTTCATTTAAGAATCCTAAATAAAAACTTGAATCAGCATAAAATAAAGAGACTTAATAAAGGCAAGGGAATATTAATACAAATAAATTTTTAAAAAACAATTTGGATTCATATCTATTATAAAATAAATTCCAATAAGTTAAATATTTTAAGAATCCAATCAGAAAAATCTGGTCAACAAAAAATTAATTTTTAACAAACCTCCAAGAAGGGGCAATAATTTTGTAAACTTAAAAAAAAATAGGAGATTAAGTTGAACCATTCATTAAATATAAATCAACTCAGTCTGCTTTATTAAAATAAAAAAAAAATAAAGACTGGGAGAAAGCCATTTCAAAATAAACAACTATAATATAAAATTAATTCAAAGTTTTACAAAAGAAGAGCCAAATTGGTAAACTGGACAAAGTGCTATAAAGATACCATTTTGAAAAGAAAATACATATGGACAAGACTACTCTATGTGAAATAGGCCAAGAAATACACATGAAAACAACTTAGTGATACATTTTGCATCTGTTAAATCAACAAATATATAAAATAAGCATAAGATTAATGAATACATTCACAAAGAGCTAGTGACACTCTCAAGTAATAGGCTTTTAGAAAGCAAAATGAAAAGACATATCAAAAGCTAAATCAAAATTTCTATCTATGATTCCATAAATGTACTCCTGAAAATTTATCCCAAGAAACTAATTCAACAGAAGACACAAATTTATATGCAGAAAAATGCTTATATTGGCATAATCAGAAGCAAACTAAAGGTCAACTGCAAGAGTATGACCGAAACTGCATACACTGTTCACTCATATAACATTATATGGCAATTATAATTATAAAAATTATGGAGAAGTATAAACTTTTTCTAAAATATTAACAAGTAGAATACAAAACTACACACTGTAATTAAATTGATCTAAAGTATTTGTGCATAGGACAATGTAAAAAAGAGGTAAACAGTGAAATAAGTTGTTAGGAAAATAGAATTATGGGTAACATTTTTTAAAATATACTGGTCTTACAACAAAAAACATGTATGCAAGTAGAGGGGAAAATTGCCTATGACTGACAATTAAGAATTAACTGCAATTGAAAATTTTTAACTAATTGCTTACCATATGCTTCTTCAATGAGAGCACAGTATGAATTAATGCCTACGCCATTCTGCTTAGATTCTTGTTCTCCAAGACGTAAAATATTTTCAAGTCCATTTAAAGCCACTTGAACTATTTTGGAGTCCATAACAGTCAAAAGGTCACAAAGTGGTTTAATGCAGCCTAAGGCTACCAAATACCTTCAGAATAATTTAAAAAAGAGAAATGGAGGGAAGATTCAAAAGATTTAAATAAACACTGTTTACTGTAATAACACAAAAATATTCTTCATAATGAAATAGTATATAAGCAATTAAGAAACATATTCCTGTGCAAACTCAAATATTACAAACATTTAAATTTTTATCTACAAACGAATCTAAAAACCTTTATTCTTCTAGTCTTTAATTTACTATAATTAGCAGTAAATGGTATTGCAAATTACAAAGTATACACATGGGAAAACTCGCACTTACATCTCTTTTTGCATAGCATATGAGCACTAAGAATCATATTTTCAACCTGTTTTTCAAAAGGGCAAGTCTATGTATACACATAGGGGTCATCTGGTGAGAGAGACAGATAGGGAGAGGGAGAAGGGTCATCTAAATTAAATTTTAGAAAAATCTTTTCTCACAAAAAGAATCCTAGCTAATCTTCTAAAACACAGTATATATACATAGTATTTATACGTATACATACTATGTTTCAGAACTATAGAAGACCTCTAGGAATATAAGAAGTCATCGTATAAATAATATTTATAAATAATAGTCAAAAATATTCCACTCACTTCCTAATGCTTTGATCTTTCCTTGTTGTTAGCTGTTTTTCCATTCTCTAGAATGAAGTAACTGATTTGTTTACTTGGCAAAAACTTCATATTAAGCACAGAAGTTAAAAACAGGCTCTGAAGCCAGACTACATGAGTTCAAGTCCCAATTCTATTCTTTATTAACTGTGTGACCTTTAGTTGTTGCTCTATACCTCTGTTTCTCCATCTTAAAATGGGGCTAATAATAGTACCAACCTTAGAAAGTTATGAGAACAGTATGGCATTTAATCAAAGTGCCTGTCTCTTAAAAAAAAAAAAAAAAAAAGTGTATACCTTCACTGGAGCACTCACTTGCCATAATACTACATTGTAACTTGTTGAATGAATGATTATCTCACAGTTATGAGGTTAGAAGAGATAACATTATGGGGGGGCTGGGGTTGTGGCTCAGTGGTAGAGTGCTCACCTAGCACACATGAGGCACTGGGTTCAAACCTCAGCACCGCATAAAAATGAAATAAAGATATTGAGTCCACCTACAACTAAAAAATAAATATTAAAAAAATGAAGAAGAGAAAGCATTACATAAAAGCACCTAACATTTTGCTGGTAGAGTAACTAAATGACATAGTGCAACAATTGGCAATAGTAGGCACTCAACAAGTGCTAGTGGAATGTATGTATGCTGAACCTAATCTGAGATCCTGAATTTCTCTTCCCATACATGTAGAGTTAATGAAATGGTAAAATTGGTTAGAGAAATAATGATCTCATTGGGCACTTAAACCATACTAATAAATTTAAGGAATACTATCCAGAATGGATATAATAATGAAAATAAATTGAAAAAAAATATATAACTGTTTGGAGATGAACAAACTTTCAGACCAAAGCAGATAAAAATAACACTAACATTTAAAAAATACAAGATAGAACAATGAAATAATCTTGCTTTACTACTACTGAATACTAAAGCAATGAGGTGTAATGAAATATAAAAAGCAGAGACATGTTATCACTGTACATAAGTATGAATCTGAGAGAACAAGATCATAGTATAATGAAAGCACTGAAAGACAAAGATCTCACAATAGGTAGTCTGAAAATCCTCTATTTTATAAAACAGCTTCACAATTAACTCCTGTTTTATAAATTAAAAAAAAAAAACAAAGCAAACATTCACTAGAAAATATTCCCTAAATAGCCACTTATAAGAAATCTAAGACGTCTTGAATTTCATGAAGGAATCCTCAGAGTAAGCAGATTCTGCAGGAAGGTAGGCTTTTATTAAAGGAACAAAGTGGAGCTTTGCTACAGGAGATAAAAATTGAAAGTACATGATAAAAAGAGATTTAGGAATCAATATTGACAAAACTAATGATTATAAATAGTAGTTTGTTGAGAAGCTGATAATTAGACACTGTGCTGATCACTTTAAATGCATAAATTTAACTTAAGGTACAGTTATTGAATTCATTTTAAAAAAATGAAACTAGATTAAAAAGGCTAAATGACTGTAAAGGTCACATAACTTTTACTGAAGGAGCAGAACTTGAAATCAGACTGATTTAAGAGCCCTTTGTACCCAACCATTTTACTGTCAGTAAAATAAATAAAGATCTAGATTTTTAAAAGTGTGCATTTAAAAAAGATAACTAGCATAGAAAAATAGCTCTACAGTGGTACATGACTGTAATCCCAGTGGCACAGAAAGCTGAGGCAGGAGGATGCCAAGTTCAAATCCAGTCTTAGCAACTTAGTGAGTGAGGCCCTAAGCAACTTAGTGAGTCCCTGTCTCAAAATAAAAAATTTAATATAGGGCTGTGGATGTGACTCAGTGCTTAAGCACCCCTGGATTGAATTCCTGATACCAATAAATAAATAAATAAAAGAATAATACTATCTTTTGGCAAGGCAAACAACTGATACAGAATAGAACATCATTAAATAAATGACTCTTTCAATTTTTATTTTACTCTAAATAAGTTGATAACTTAAATTTTTGTGATTTTATGTTTTTCTAATGCCCATGACACTGTATTTTGCAAATTAATGTAAACTGTTCCTGTTCAGATTCTTAATCTCCAGCCTGTCAAGAAATATGGTGTTAATTAAATTAAACAAACAAAACAACCACTGTGCCAGTAACATAGCAACTTAGAGGTTGAGACAGGAGGATCTCAGCAACTTAGGCAGTTTCAGCAACTTAGCAAGATCTGCCTCAGCAACTTAGCAAAACCCTTTTTCAAAATAAAAAATAAAAAAAAAGGACTGGAGATGTGACTCAGTGGTAAAAAACAAACAAACAAACAAAAAAAAACCACCCTTGGATTCAATCCCTAGTACAAAAAACCCCCCCAAAAACAAAAACACAATGTGAATGAAAAGATACAGCAAATGCTGCCATTTCATGTTAACAAACTGACATACTAATAATGTTAGTTTCATTGACAAATAAAAAATGTGTTTTTCGAATTCTGACTTACACTTAAAAAGCAATTTTTAAATATCGGAATCATACCTTATTTGCTCTGGAGTGCCTCCTGATGTTGCATTAGTTATAGCCCAAGCTGCTTCTTTTCTGGTGCGAAACTCTGCTTTCTGAAGAATCTCAATCAAAATAGGAAAAATACTTGCATCTATAACAGCCTGGGAGGAGAAAAAATGATATAGTATAATTAGCGCAAAATACTTTTAAAATATTACCAAGTAGAGGAGTAAAGAAACTCAATGGTCAAAGTTTTGGAAATATTTTGTTTCTCATCTGTCAATAAACTTTCAGGTACTTTCTTCTTCTAGAAGGAAATAAGCTTTTAAAAGAACAGAGAAGCTTTCAGCAGAATATAAATGATAAAGCACTGGCATATGATTCATCAAAATGGATAAGTAATCACTGACTTGAGCTTAATAGAATTCTAATAAACCACTAAAAGCTATAAGAGGAAGACGGATCACTGTCTAACTTATTTAAAACATTAAAAAAAAAAATCCCTGTTTTAGAAACTAACCACTGTGTGTCAGGCACAATATTAGACATTTTTATGTATACAAATGCACATTTCTCACTAGATAATGAAAAATAAATATTAACATTTTAGAGGAGGACATGTCAAATTCTTTAAACTGCTTTTCAGAAATCTTTTTTTTTTTTTAACCTTCTTTTAGTAACTCACTAAAATACATCACTGATGGGCTGGGGATATAACTCAGTTGGTAGAGTGCTTGCCTCACATGCACACAGCCCTATGTTCAATCCCCAGCAACACAAACACACACACACACACACACACACACACACACACACACACATCACTGATAAAATGCTGACTTTTGTCCAAACTGGCACCTTAGACCTTCCTGCTCTAATCTCAGATCTAGAAAGTATTTACCTGAATCTGAGCTCTGTTTCCAGCAGTGATGTTAGAAATAGTCCAGCAGGCTTCTTTTCTAATTGACTCCTTTGGGCTACTCAACAAGTGTAAGAGACAGGGTAATGCAGAACAATTCAAAATTACCTAAAACAAGTAAGAAATAGAAACAAAAAGTTTCTTAATAATTAACCCATACAAAAATCTAATGGATTACTTTTAAGTATAAAAATCATTCCAATAAACAAAATCAAAACAGAGAAATTCCTCTCAAAGTAAAACTTAGGTACTTGCTATCTTTTTCCTTCCTGCTGTTGCCACAACTTGTCTAATGCCAGTATAAGGAAGTGCCATGTTCTCAATCTACAAAAATGCAAATCAGAGGCTCACCCTTCAAGTTTATAAATTAAAGCGAGTTTACAAGTTAAAGCAAGTTAATTTGTAGCATTATCAATGAAAATGCTGTTTTCAAAATATAACCAAGTATAGGAGTCTTCATTCAAACTCAATGTTTTTTTAAAAAGTCACAATTTGGGGGAATATGTTCAGAGTTCAACTGAAATAACTGCTTAAAGATTTAGTGACTGAGGTCAGGATCCAACCTCTAGTTTTCAAAATGAAATTAGTGAAAAAAATATTTATCAGTCTGAAAGCATTTAATTTTATAATAAGAAATCTTAATGTATGGAATAAGGCTATTTCATTAAAATTTTTACTGTTCCATTTTTCTTTTGTAAATAAGTATATTCTCTGTATTTCTTTATTCCATGGTAATATTAATTATTTTTCTATATCAAAATCATTCCCAATGATTCACATTAAATTTACTTGAGGAAGAATGTACAAAACAGTGCACTGAAATTTTGGCTAAAAAATACAGTGTATGTTTAGATAGACATTTTCATTTAGAGAGTTACTTTAAATGAACTATATCAACTGTTTAATAACTTTTGTAGTTATCTAAATAGACTTGAGAAGAGTAAAATTAAAAAATCCTGTAGGTTAGAAAAAAACCTACTGAAAGGTAGTAAAAGAGGGAGAATCTAATGTGTTTTAAAAAAAAACTCCACCCTAAATCTGGAGTCAACCTTGATCTCATACCTTATTTGACATTTCACAATTCTCAAAAAGATACACACGCATACATACAGTTATTCCTTACCATCCTTCCTGTGGTCTCATAATTTGTGTCTGTAATCTAGTATAAAAACCCCCTCCCATTTATAACCCCATTTCTAACCTATTTAAAATCAATCACCTGTTCACTAAAAGTTTCTATTCAAGTTAAGTTCAATGCCTCTTAAACATATCTCACAGAGGTCTCTATACCTCTATATCTAGGATTACATAGCTCTCTTCTAGTCTCATAAGAACTTCTTTAATTTTTAAGATCTAGCTTTAGTTCTAACGTTTTATGGAAACTGAACAGATTCTTAGCACTCTGATCTTTTTTTCAAACTTTTATAACATTTATTCGCTTATTCATTTATGGGAGGGTACTGGGGATTGAACTTCGGGACACTCAACCACTGAGTCACATCCCCAGCCCTATTTTGTATTTTATTTAAAGATAGGGTCTCACTGAGTTGCTTAATGCCTCACTGTTGCTAAGGCTGGCTTTAAACCCATGATCCTCCTATCTCAGCCTCCCAAGTTACTGGGGTTACAGATGTGTGCCACCACACCTGGTTATACCATCTATTATATGACAGTTAATAGCATATATTTACTACCTTAAATAATTTGTTTTAATATTTATTTTCTCCATATTTTTATTATAAATCCCCCAAAAGCAGAATCCACATCATATACTTCTTTGCATTGATACAGGTCTAAGATAATACTTTCCTAAATAGATATCTGAGTTAATTACATGTTATCAGGAATATGCACATTGTCATGGATGCTTGTACAATTATACTAATGCTAAAATTTTGATTAATATGTAATCAAGTGATATGAAACACAATAAACCTATAATCCATTACATTAACAATCTGTCATATTAATAAGTCCGAACTTACCTGTGTTTGAATATCATCACCAGTCACAACATTACCAACTGCTCTTAATGCAGGTGATACAACTTTATAATCATTGTGCCTAAAAATAAAAATAGGAACTTACATACTAAGAATTTAAAATTTACAGAAAGTTGCAAAAAACAGCACAAAAACCTTCCATTTTCTTAAATACTACACACCACAAATCCCATTATACTTCACTAATTTTCCCAGTAATATATTTATAATGACATCTAGTGTGACCCAGTTGCCATGTGTCTTTGGTGTCTTTCAATCTGGAACAGTTCTTCAGCCTTCCCTTGATGTTCTTGATTTTAACATTTTTGAAGATCATTAGCCATTTTTTTTTATCCAGTGTTTCCTTGTGATTAATTCTCAGGATATATTTTCAGCTAGATACCACAAATGCTATAGTTTTTTCATTATATCCTATGGGGTGGCATATGGTATCTCTTTTGTCCCATTATAGTGGCACTGAATTCTGGTCACTAAACAGTATCTGACAGATTTTTCTACTTTACCATTATTGATCCCCCCTTTATAATTAGAATTTCATGAGGAAATACTCCAAGACTCTGTAAAAAACGTATTTTTTTTTTTTTTTTTTTTTTTGGTACCAGGGATTGAACTCAGGGGCACTTGACCACTGAGCCACACCCCGAGCCCTATTTTGTATTTTATTTAGAGACAGGGTCTCACTGAGTTGCCTTAGCACCTCAGTTCTGCTGAGGCTGGCTTTGAACTTGCATCCACTTGCCTTAGCCTCCCCCCAGCTGCTGGGATTACAGATGTGCGCCACTGTGCATGGCTAAAAATCTTATTCTTTAAGATACTTTTACCACTAGTTTTAGCATCTCTTGATGCTTATTGTCTGAAGTAATGAGTAACTATCAGTATTTTTACAGATGGTGATTTTCTACTACTATCATCAAACTATATGCCTTATCTATATATTAATCTACTTATAGTGTGGACTTGTGGATTTTCTATTTTATTCAATAAGTTATAATACATTATTACTATAATTTATCTTTGAAATTCATACTGTCTCAGTTTTGGACAGTGGGAGCCCCCTTCTAGTGGGATTCTGTATCTTTGAAATTTCTCCATTCTTTGAGCACTAACTACCTTCTGTGTTCACCTTATTTTTTTTTCTTCTCAGTGCCAGTTCTGGAACTAATCATTTCTCTAAGAATCCTGATTCCTTGGAATGGAGAGTGTTATTGAGAAATCAAGATCTGACCATTCACTGTGCTCAGTTTATAAGTATAGGGGTGTCATTCCTCCTAGGACCTTTGAGAGAATAGACACACACACACACACACACACACACACACACACACACACACAATTGTCTTTTTATGTTGAAAGCCATGAGCTTACATTGATAGTTCCAGTTCCAATCTACCACCATAAGGGTTATTCAGACTTTCCCCTGTTTAATTTTTATATCTCCATTCTCTGATAACAAGAAACCAGCTTCTTTGATATTAATTTTCCTATATATGGCCAATCTTCTGACCCAGCTAGGCTGCTAACTCATGATGTGTTGGCTCCAAGCCCTGCTTTAGCCTGCTTGCCTTTTCAGTATGGTGAATGCCATTCTCAAATCTAGGCCCTGATCTCTCTATTAGACTTGCCTGTTCATTCCCCTCTGATGCTGTACTCATGTTGGGGCCTCAACCCCTTATTAGACCTCTATTCTTTGTGGTACCTGTGCCCTGTTTGAGCTTACTTATGGCTTTTTTATAAAAGGAAGGAAGGAAGATGACATTTTTTCAAGGAGGTTTTCTTTCTTTAAAAGAAAAAGTTTTATAACATCTTTGAATGGAAAAGCTGCTCTTTTTAAAGACAGCAATTATAAGAACCCAGCAAAGAGAAACATTATTTTAATACAAGTAAAATACTAAAGGACTTTCACTACATGGCTTTTTATAACAATTAATTACTATAATGAATAATAAACAAGATTACTGGTTATTTGAAGAGCAGGAACTATGTTCTTAGTTCATTAATAATGTCTCATGCACCACCACAGAAGTTAATAGCCATGAGCACTCGTTCATAAAAAAATCAGATAAAACAAAAGAAATTCATTTATGAAATATTTCAGGATATAAGACATGAGTTAAGGATCAATTTTTTTAGGACTATTGGTACTTTGTAAAGTGTAGGGTTGGTAGCTTTTAAATTCTTCCTGAAGACAGTGACTCTTAAGATGTTTATAAGGCCATTATTTCAATTGCTACTCTTAATATATAATCATACAATTCTAAAGCATAAATTATAGTTACATCAAAAGTTCCACCAATCTTCGACAGACTCCAGAATCTATGACTGCTTGAATTTTATCATTGGGTCCATCAGAGAGATAAGAAAGGGCCCAGCACACATCTGCTAACACATCCGGGTCACTGCTAAACAATAATCGTGACAGGACATTTAAGCAAGGTGAAACCTGGAAGGGAAGAAAGAATCAAATTTTAATTTTTTATTTATCTAAAACCAAGTTTCTTTTAAATTTATTTTAAAACAAAAAACCAATCCTATAATAATACCAGAGAAATCAAAACATCCTATTGTTTTAAAATTATGATCAGATTTATGAACATAAAACTAATGGTTGCTATTAAACTTATATTCAATAAGAAGTGAAGTTTTTTTTTTAAAATAATACATATGTATTTGGTATCTCCTGTCTGTGTAAAACTGAGAGAAGTCTAAACGCTTCAGTTCAGTGTTTGTTATAATGAACATGGAAGATGGTCTAACTTACATGAACTTTGCCTTATTCATTACAGGTGCTTTACTGGGAATAAATCTAATAATCATTTGAGATACAAAGGAGTAGAAAATATAAGTATATATGTGTGTATATATATATGTATATACACATAAGATCTTCAACTAAGAAAACTAAACAGACAATAACAGATTCTTAATCCCTTTAGCACTAACACTACAATTAGTCGTACAGAGTAGCAAGCTACTTCATCTCTCTAAGATTCAGTTTACAAATCTGTGGGGAAAAGGGTTTAAAAGATTAAATAAATTCTATGGCCCTTCTTCCTCTTTGTCAGACAGATCTGGGGTCAAAACATGGCTTACTAGCTGAGTGTCCATGGAAAAAATTACCTAACATCTCTAAACCTCAAATTCTTTGTAAAACAAGTAAGTGGTACAATTAAATTTTTAAGAATGCATGTAGCATATGAGAACAATACCTTCCATTCATTCAGTAACTGCTTGACTATCAGCTCTTTTTATTCTCATGATAGGTACTGATTCTATATTCCTTAAGGTTGATTTTTTTTTTTTTAATTGGCAATCGAATGTATCTCTTAGTGTCTTTCCTTCCTAAGGACTATAGCAGTCTCCCCCACTCCTTACAGATAGGAAATAAATTCCAAGACTATCAGTTGAAGCATAAAATCATGTAATAGTACCAAATCTAATATATTCTATGCTTTTTTTCTGTAAAGACACAAATTTAATGTCTTTTTCTACTTAACTAAGCATTCACCAAGCACTGTGCCTGTAACTTTTGTTTTGTAGCATAAGGCACATCAGCAAAACTAGCACAAATTTCTTTTTCCTTCTTCATATTCTATGGACAGAAGATCTGTTCTTGTTATAGATCTTTGCAATGTCAAAACACATTTTTTCCCCCTTCCTTATTAAGGTAAACACTTTTCATCTCTTCACTAAAAGAAGCAATTTACAGCTTCTCTTTGGCATATCTGAAGTGCTAGAATTCAAACTGAATTCTGAAGCTATCATTAAGTAAAATAAGGGTTCCGGACGGAATACAAGCACTACAATACCTCAAGCACACAGCATGGATATACTAGACAAAGAAAAGATTCACATCCAGAGCAGTATGATCCAAGATTTCAGGATAGTTCTCAAAAGACATACAATGTAAAACTCATTATTTTTTTTTTATTTCTGGAATAGCTAGGAATGTGGCTCAATAGTTGAATGACCATGAGTTCAATCCCCAGTACCCACCCTCCTGAAAAAAAAAAAAAAAAATGATGGGTAGGTAAGAAGACAAGCAAAATTTGTTGAGATGCTACTATAATAACCCAAGTGACAAACAGTAATACAGACTAGGTGGTATCAAGGGAGATGATGTATTTTCTTTTTTAATAAATTATTTTGAAAAACTTCAAGTGTACAGAAAATTGGTTTAAAAAAAAGTACAATCAATACCCACATGCTATTCACCTAGATCTAGCCATTATCAACTTTTTTTTTTTTTTTTTTTTTTTGAGAGAGAAAGTTAAAGAGAGAGTTTTTTTTTATTCATCTTTTTTTTTTAGTTTTTCAGTGGACACAACATCTTTGTTTGTATGTGGTGCTGAGGATCGAACCCGGGCCGCACGCATGCCAGGCGAGCGCGCTACCGTTTGAGCCACATCCCCAGCTCTAGCCATTATCAACTTTGCACTTTCTCCATATTCATACATGAGCACATGTGTTTTTTCTTGTTTTTTTACTGGATCATGTGAGAACCAATTGCAAACATTATCATGATACATCACCTCTAAATACTTTATCATGTATCTCCTAAGAAAATGGTCATCCAACATTCTTCTATTACAATATGATTATCACACCCAGGTTTTAACATTGTCACAATATCTAAGGTAGGAATCACAGTCAAATTTTTTAAGCTAAAAATTTATTGTGATCCATGAATTAATCAGGGATTAAACATTTCATTTATTATGTTTCTTTAAGAGATATATTTTTTTAAAAATCTGGTTTATTAAAGTAGTTATATAGAACATAATTACACACTTTTTAGCTATACAATTTCAGTATGTCTTTCTGTAAACTAATATTAACAAATGTATATATCAGTATGACCAATATTCAATAACAATTCAGAATATTTATCATTCTGAAAAGTTCTCTTTTGTCTACTTGTAAAGTCAATTTCCTTTCCTCAGGTAATCACCAGTCTCATTCCACCCCCATTTTTCCTGGGGACTGAACCCAGTGTATTCTACCACTGATCTATATTTCCAGCATCTTTTTATTTATTTATTTACTTACTTTTTAAATTTTTTTTTTCTTTTTTTTTTTGAGATAGGGTCTCACTAAGTTGTTCAGGCAATCCTCCTGCCTTGGTCTTCTGAGTTGCCTTGATGATTGGTACCACAATGCCTGGTTCATTCATATAGATTCTGTTTCCAAAATACTAAATGTAATCATGCACAATGCATCATTTGTGCATGGCTTCCTTCATCTAGCTTAATGCTTTTGAGATTAATCTATGTTGTTGCAAGTGTCAGTAGTTTGTTGCTTCTTATTGTTGAGTTGTATTCCATCACATGAATGCACTGTACTATCCATACACCAAATGATATAAATTTAGACCATTTCCAGTTTTTGGTGATCATGAATAAAACTGCATTAAGATTTGCATATGGGACTTTTTTTTAAATACATACTATTTCATATCTCTTGGGTAAGTACCAGAGAATGAGAATGCTACTCAATTAATACCGAAGTATTTATGCTATTTTACATTCCCAATTTCATAACCAATAGTAGGAGAATAACTTTAATCTTTTTTGGAAGCTTCAGCTCCAAAAAGATTTCTAAATTCAACTCCAAGATACCTAAATATCTGGTTATAGTGGTTGCCTATGGGCAAATGAATTAAATGAATGGAAAGAAAAGAAGGCAAATTTCCCTTTTATGGTAAATCTTTTGAATTTTGTGAATGTGAAAATATTGTCTAGTCAATAATGAACATAAATACTAACAAAAATTAGTATTCTAACCTCAAAAAAATCTACCAATAGAAACTTAAAAGTTTATGGAGACAGATTTCTTAATTTGTGTATTTTCTTCATACCTTACTAAAGTTTGGAGGAGGGTTTTTGCCTCTACATAAATTTGAGAGAGCCCATACAGCATTTCTGGTTGTAGTAAGTCTGTTTGAATTTGTTAATAACCTGTCAAAAAAAGAAAAAAGGAACTGTCACTTTATCTTCATTTTTTTCACTTTAGCTATTTTCTATCATGATATACAAACTCTTTGCAATATATTTTAAGATATTCATTATATTTTCAAAAACAAAAATAAACAACTCTATATTTTAAATCTCTTTTTATTTTATTTTATATGACAGTGGAATGCATTATAATTCTTATTACACATATAGAGCATAATTTTTCATATCTCATCACATTCCACCATCATTTCTAATTCCATGCCCCCTCCCTTCCCATTCAACCCTTCTGTCCTATCTAGAGTTCCTCTATTCCTCCCATGCTCCCTCTCCCTATCCCACTATGAATCAGCCTCCTTATATCAAAGAAAACATTCGGCATTTGGATTTTTGGGGTTGGCTAACTTCACTTAGCATTATCTTCTCTAATTCCATCCATTTACCTGCAATGCCATGATTTTATGCTCTTTTATTGCTGAGTAATATTCCATTGTGTATATATGCCACATTTTTTTTTTTAACCATTCATCTATTGATGCCTATTGAAGGGCATCTAGGTTGGTTTCACAATTTAGCTATTGTGAATTGTGCTGCTATAAACATCGATGTGGCTGTGTCCCTGCAGTACGCTGTTTTAAGTCCTTTGGGTATAGACCGAGGAGAGGGACAGCTGGGTCAAATGTGGTTCCATTCCCAATTTTCCAAGGAATCTCCATACTGCTTTCTAGATTGGCTGCACCAATTTGCAGTCCCACCAGCAGTATATGAGTGTACCTTTTTCCCCACATCCTCACCAACACTTACTGTTGTTTGTCTTCATAAGAGCTGCCATTCTGACTAGAGGGAGATGATATCTTATATATTTTAAATCTTGACTCTAAGATCTGAACAAATTCTTAAATCATAAATAACTCTGAAAATAGTAGGTGTTGTGGGAAACTTAATTACTTCTATATATTTTAAAGAGTACTAGATTACTTTTAACCATGAAAATACTACATTATACAAATTCAGGAAGCAGGGAATACAATGTAAAATTAAATGAAGATCATTTATTGATAAGGGGATTCTTTGTTTTGTTTTTAATAGATTACTCTTCTAAATATTTCTTATCTGATTTTCAATGACTAAAGAAACTTGAGTGTTTAAAACAAGAATTTTTCCTCTCAGCCTCCCAATAAATTAGTAACAGGGGCCAGGTGCAGTGTTGCACACTTGTAATCCCAGCAGCTCGGGAGGCAGAGGCAGGAGGATTGAAAGTTCAAAGCCATCCTCGGCAACTTAGTGAGACCCTGTCTCTAAATAAAATATAAAAAAGGGCTGGGGATGTGGCTGTGGTTGAGCACCCCTGGGTTCAATCCTCAGTACCAAAAAAAAAAAAAAGTCAATAACAGCTCCCCACAAAAACAGAATAAGTTCTTTTTAGTTATTTATATATCCTAGTTATTTATATTTAAATAGGAGATCCCACAAAGTAGTAGTCATTGAAACTTCAGGAAGGTGTAAACTCCAAGGCCATGACAGATCCTTACAACTTACAATAAAAGCACACATACCAAACTTTGGATTGCTTTTCCATGAGTCTGTTAACCTCTTGAGGACCTCCACAAACCTGCTACAGAAATATAGAAACTCTAGGGCTAGGGGTATAGCTCAGCTGGTAGAGTGCTTGCCTTGCATGCATAAGACCCTGAGTTCAATCCCCAGCACCACAAAAAAAAAAAAAAAAAAAAAAAAAAGGAAAGAAAAGAAATATAGATTGAAAAAAAATCCCCATTTTGGAGTGACATCAGTAAAAACAGTAAAGAAGGGAACTGGTCCCTCCTGAGGAATATTGAAAGAGTTGCAAACATGGTCAAAATCAAATTGAACTCTGAAAGATAATCAAAAGAGTATAGTAATTAAAAGAACTTTTATTCAGGAAAGGGCTGAAATATGTTTCACAACAGGAAAGCTTTCTGACATTTTAATTTACCCTAGCTCAAACCCCCTTCAGTTTGACAGCAGAGTTTAACATGGCAGTCTGTTCCCACTGTGAGTTCCTGGTTCCAGAGGGAACAGAGCAGACTAGTTTCCTTGGACTTCTGTATCTGCACTTGGACCTGTGTGAGGATTCCCTGAAAAAAAATGGGGAATCTTTTGTCTTTGTTTTGCCTACCTGGAAACTGCCAGGGTGGAAAAGCAGTTATGTAAAGAATGTTCCCTGAGGGGCTGGAGTCTTAGTGGTGGAGCACTTGCCTTGTGAGTGTGGGGCACTGGGTTTGAGTCTCAGCACCACATATAAATAAGTAATTAAAATAAAGGTCCATCAACAACTAAAAATTATTAAAAAAAAAAAAAGTTTCCTGAGCCAGGCGTGATGGCACAAGCCTGTAATCCTAGTGGCTTGGGTGGCTGAGGCAGTAGGATCACAAATTCAAAGCCAGCTTCAGCAAAAAGTGAGGTGCTAAGCAACTCAGTGAGTTCCTGTCTGTAAATAAAATACAAACTAGGGCTGGGGATGTGGCTCAGTGGTCGAGTACAGGAGTTCAATCCCCAGTACCCACCCTGCAAAGAAACTAGAAAAATTAGAGTCAATAAAATCCAAAATTACTGGGGCTGGGGTTGTGGCTCAGTGGCAAAGCACTTGCCTCGAACATGTGAGGCACTGGGTTTGATCCTCAGCACCACATAAAAAACCAAATAAACAAAATAAAGATATTGTGTCCATGTATAACTAAAAAAAAGGTTTAAAAAAAATCCAAAGCCACAAAACTCTTAAAAAAAAAAAAAAAAAAAGGATCGACAAATCGCTGTCTGGACCAATAAAGAGACTCAAATTACTACAATTAGAAATCAAAGTGAGGATATTACTATTGACCTTTCAGAAATAAAAAGAATTATCTGATTATCTGAGAATATTGTGAACAATCAAAGGCAACAAACTGGGTCATGAAAAAGAAATGAGAAAACGGTTAGAAACAATCAAATGACTCAAGAAAAAATAAAAAATATGAATAGGCCTAAAATAGGTAAAGATATTAAATTACTAATTAAAACCTTTCCAATAAAGTTCAGCATTAGAATGGTTTCACTAGTGAATTCTACAAAGAATTAAATCCTTCTCATTCTTCCAAAACACATAACAATTCCTAATTAATTTTAGGAGGACACCATTACCCTGATACCAAAGCCAAAGACAGTACAATAAAAGCACAGACTTTTGAAATTTTCATAAAGTTTTAGAATTTTTGAATTCTTTATGAATATACATCCAAAATTCCTCAACAAATTTCTAAGAAATTAAGCCCACTAGCATATTAAAAAGATGAAATACTATATTATCCCATGGGTTTTATCCTAGGAATGCAAGGATGGTTCAATAAGTATCAATTAATACATAAACCCACATTAATAAAATGAAGGCAAACACTTGATCATTTCAAATGACATATTTAGAAGAACTCAGTTTTGTTAAAAAAAATCAACATTAGGAATAGAAAGAAACTACATCAACATGATAAAGGACATTTAGGAAAAACCCAGAGCTATTATACTTGATGATAATTAGTGAAAAGTTTTTATTCCAACACAAGAACCAAGACAGTGATAGGGGTTTTTGCTACTTCTTTGCAACGTGGTACTAAAAGTTCTAGCCAGAGCAATTACAAAAGAAAAAGAAATTCAAATTGAAAAGCAATAAGTGAAATCTATTCTCAGATGATAAAACCTTATATGAAAAATTCTAAAACATTATACATGAAAAATTATTATTGCCAATAAATGAATTCAACCAAATTGCTAGGCATAAGATAGACACCAAAAATCAGTAGTATTTCTTAACATTACCAAGTGAAAAAAATTAACAATTTTATTTACAATAGCATCAAAACAAATAAAATTCAGATGTTCTTTGACTTATGATGGGGTAACATCCTGATAGATCATCATTAGTTGAAAATATTGTAAGGCGAAAATGCATATAATACACCTAACCTACTGTTAATAGTTAGAACCTTAAATCCTCCCCACATCGCCCACTGAGGTTTATGTGCTAAAGGTTTGGCTTCTAGCCTGTGGTGCTATTGGGAGGTACTTGGACCTTTAGGAGATGGGGTCTAGTGGATGAAGTTAGGTCAGTGGAGGGCATGCCCTTGAAGTGGATCTTGATCTTTTTGTTTCCCAATAGCTATAAATTAAGCAGCTTTGCTCCAACATATGCTCCCTGCTATGATGTTCTGTCTTGCCACATGCTCAAAGTAATAGGGCCAAATAACTATGGACTGAAATCTCTGAAACCATGAGTCTAATAAATGTTTCCTCCTTGCAAGTTGATTTAAGAGAACCTAAGAGATACAGAAATTATACAATTTGAAATTTTTTTTCTGGTTTTACCTACTTTCAAGCCACTGTGGGCATCAGTAAACAAAATTAGAAAACACTACTGAAAAACTTAATTGTATATTGCAAAATATAATAGAGGAGTCAGTAGAGTGCTTGCACTGTATGCACAAGGCCCTGGTTCAATCCAGCACCATACATACACACACACACACACACACACACACACACACACACACACAGAAAGTAGAGGATATAGTTTTCTTAAAGTAGAATTAATTTAATTGGAAAAAGTTTAAACAAAGCACTTACTCTAAAAGAGGTGGAAGTATGTCACAATTCAAAACAAAATCTCTGCATTCCGCATTATCTCCTGCAATATTACCAAGTGCCCAAACAGCCTTAAAAAAAACAAGAAAAAATTATACTCTTAAGATAAAACCTTAATTAAAATACTCCCTTAAGAATGATACTTTAGTACAGAATGAATAAAATCACAATTTCCTACAAAATGTGAAAATGAAAAGTAATGTCAGAAAGAAATGAACATTTTAGAAATTCAAGTTTATAATTTTAAACAAATTAATTATAAGATAAAGGAATTTTAAAAGTTCTTGTATGGAAAGACAAAAGATATCTACTCAGGAAATTTTCCAATTATTTATACTAGAGGCTTGTTCCTATGAAAAGAAACCTTCTAACTAGTGGATCTGTAAAACAGGAAAACAAAGAGACAATGCATAGGGCTGGGGATATAGCTCAGCTGGCAGAATGCTTGCCTTGCATGCACAAGGCCTTGGGTTCAATCCCCAGCACCACAAAAGGAAAAAAAAAAAGAAAGAGATAATGCATAGAAAAATAAAGTAGTAACTAACATGAGAATTAGATGAATCACTGAAAATAAACTTAAGATTAGTCAAATTTTATTATCACTGTAAAAATAAATGGTGGCAAAGATCAAATTATTCACTCATTAAATTTTAGTTAGATGAGAAATTATGCAAATACAAATTATTATTTTATTATATTCTCACTTTGAATTTTTCCTATAAAAACAAAAGTACACACTATTTTTCAATTGGGAAAATTTTAATTTAACATTTTAAACATGAATTAAGACTTCTGACCTCCAGTTTAGATATACATATTTTTTAAATTTTTGAAAGAAAAACTTGTAAAAAAATAAACATAAACAGGGCTAGGGCTGAAGCTCCGTGGTAGAGTACTTGCCTAGCACATGCGTTTGATCCTCAGCACTATATAAAAATAGATAAATAATTTTAAAGGTATTGTGTCCATTTAAAACAAAAAAAAAATTGTTAAAAAAAACCAAAAAACAAAAAATCCTTTAAAGTAAAGGTATTTCTCATACTAGGAAGTATAATATTCTCTCTTTTTTTTTTTTTAAAGAGAGAGAGAACTTTTTAATATTTATTTTTTAGTTTTCGGTGGACACAACATCTTTATTTTTTTATTTTTATGTGGTGCTGAGGATCGAACCCAGCACCCCGTGCATGCTTGGCGAACGCACTACCACTTGAGCCACATCCCCAGCCCTATTATATTCTCTTGATGTAGATATGATTTTTAGAGACCAACTTTGAAATATGTAAAAAGACCCTTAGCAATTTTAGATCTGTTGATAGAGTAGTCATTTTCTCTAATAAAAAATTGAGAGGTATAAGAAAATTACATATAGTGATGTTCATCACAATAATTTTAATACTGGAAATAAACGTACAATCAAGTAATTGATAGCAAATTATAGAAAATATCTGAGTTTATACTGAGTAATCAGGAAAATTTTCTTGGAAGAATAATTAATGTTATAAGAAAAAACTCCCAATATTCATATTAAGTAGATTTTTTTTTTAAAAGGTGATGAATGGTAGAGAGATCTATAGATCAACATGCATAAAAATGATGTGAAACAAAAATACCAAAATAATTTATTTTCTTTGGATGGTACAATTATATTTGATCAAATTTTTCCTTTTACTTGAAAATATATTCATGAAGTACATTAAAAATGGTTCTATTCAAAGTAATGTAATAATTAAAAACAGAAAAATATAATAACTACTCCCCGCCCCCCACACAAAATAATTAGTTAGATTGACCCAGCTTTAAAACCTACCAGCCATTCATGATTTCAAGTAAACTATTAACTTTTCTGGGTCTCAGTACATTGTTTTGTAAATAAAAAGAGTGCTTCCTATGCTAGCTGATATCACACTTACTAAGAATCTAGGATTATGCCCCAGACAGTTCATTCTTTTACCCTTCTAATCTGATACTGAAAAGAAATTACTGTTTTTAACAAGTGCAATGTACAAATTAGTCACAAAAAATTACAAATCATAATTACAAATGGCATTTTCAAGATAAAATTAATACCTAACATACATAATAAGTTAGAAACTTAACTTACATAATATATAATAAGTTAGAAACGTAACTTACCTGTTCCTGAACATCTTCATGTTCTGAATTAAGAAGTTTGATAAAAATTGGAACAGCCCCAGTTTCAATCACTACCTTGGTATGCAGAAAAGTTCCAGATGCTATATTAGTTAGTGCCCATGCTGCTTCAAACTAAGGTTAGAGAGTAAAATAAATAAAACCATGAAAAAAATGTCAGAAAGGAGAAAAAAGGAAGAAGAGAAGGAGTAAAAAGATAACTGGACAAGCCTGAGAGAAAGACTGACATGATTAATAAGATCCATTTTGTGAAGTCAGATTTCATAGATGAAAACTCTTAATTAAGAAAAACAATACTATTCTTCAATCTGTAAAAACAAGAACTGAGAAGGGATAAATTGTAATTTACAAAACCAACAATATATAACACACTTTAATTAATAAAATTGCTGATGTTTGAGAAGTATTCTGAAGAAAGTTCAAAAATAAATGAAACACTACTTTATAGAGCAACAGAATCATAAAAGGAACTTGTTTCCGTAGGTAGCAAGTAGCCCCAATCTCCTTATATAAAAAAGAAGAAAATGGAATTTTAGGGATTTAGAGGTATTTGTTCAACATCAAGATTTCATTATTAGCAGAGACAATACTAGGATTTCTGATGATCTTTTAAGCAGGAGAGTTTCAAAGAAGTTATTCACATCAATTCAATTAGAATTTGGATAAATTTATATTATGATAGAATTTAACAGAAGCTACTAAGAAAAATTGAACCCATGGCTCCCTAACAATGAAGCTGTAAATACAGAAAGCAACATATAAATTCACAGGCAAACTAAGCAATGACTATAGCTTAAAACATTGAAGAGACAGCTTTCATATTAAGGTAGATATCATCATTAACAGAAATTGCACACAAAACCATTACTGAAATACTGAAAAGTATAGTTATTGTTATGTGCAAGACTAAGAAAAAATTTATACTAAAAAGTAGTGGAGACCATAGTTGTGACAAATTGTAAATAATGAAATAAATAAAAGACAAAAGACAATTAAGGGGTTGGGGTTATAGCTCAGTGGTAGAACACTTGCCTGGCACATATGAGGTACTGGGTTTGATCCTCAGCACCGCATAAAAATAAATACATAAAATAAAAGTATTGTGTCCATCTACTACTAAAAAACTACACATATATTTTAAGAAGACAAAAGATTACTCCACAAAATTCTCCATTCATAAACCTACTGAAGAACTGTGAAAAACTAGAATGCATATGTATGATTAAAGAAAGAAACAGGAACTTTCTAAAAAGGAAAAAAGCACTTCTATTCAGTTCAATTTCACTTTTACTATGTGGCAATAATGCTAACTCTTCTGATTTGTCAAAGAAAAAGAAATCTGGATATTCATTTGAAATTTCCCAATTTTTAAAAAGTCTAATTCACATGTTTTAAAACATGTGTGCAGGCAAACAAAACATGTTTGCAGGTCATTCTGGATTATACACCCCACACAGATTTTAGACAGACTAATAGCCTGAACTAATATTCACATACATGGTATGGCGCTACCCCAAGGTTACTCTATTGTATTTCATTAGGTATTAATTATAGTAACTAATAAATATCAAGTTCCCTAAGTCCTGAATACACTATGCTATTCTCTTAACCTAAAACTATTTTCCTACTCTCAGTTCACCAAACTCTCCTTCGCCTTCAAGACTATTTTGGGAAGTCTTCCTTGATTCCCCCCATACAGAATAAGTTGCCAAGTTCACAGTGTTTGAGAACTATCATATCATATAATATTTTGGAACTATAATCAATAAAAGGGGTCAGTGCATGCTCTCGTTCTCTCTCTTTCTGCGGACCCTTAAGGTCAGAGGAGATGTCACAGTGACTCCAAACATAAAGGTACTTGTGTCTCTTGTGTGGTTATTTTGCGCACCCAGTCAGCCCCGTTCAACTGGAGTAACCCCTGAGCCATTTGGTCTTGAGAACAGAAACCCGACAGTTAGGTAAAGGTTTACTGAATTCCTCAAACTGATAGAATTCCACCCTGTACTCTTACTTAAGAATTTACTTAGCAATAAAGTCAGGGAGGATAAACTGTTTGGTTCTTTTAAAAATTAAAATATTTGCAAACTTTGGTGATTTTCCACTAGTAGCAAATTATATAGAAGACATCTTAAATCATACATGGTTGAAAAGTAATGCTCTTTGGGAAAAAAAAAAACTTTAGTCACATTTTTACTAGATTATACTAATTTATTCTTTGTTTCAAAAAAGGAACTAATTGATTAGTTAAAATGTTTAAAAGGAAAAAATTATAACTGTGGTTAACTAAGAAACAAAATTAACTTAACCACTGGGTTAACATTTTAGTTTGAGGTTTCCTAAAACAAAAAAAAAATTTTTTTGAAGGATAACAACCATAGAATTTTTATTAACATTAATTAAATCTTATATATTTTTAAAATACTGCTTAATAAAATATAACAATTCCTAGAAGAAACAAGCATTATCATCATGCCCAGGGCAAGACAGATGAGAAGAATGTTTTCCTTTAATTGCCAAGTACTTTATGAATGCTTATAATATAGTCAGTATTGAAGAATTTTAATATGGAAATTTCAAAGTGATTTCTACAAGAGATTAAGAAAGAAAACTTCAGACTCACTTGTAAGGTACAATTTTCATTTCTTTCAAGGAATTTCACAAATCTCTGTACAACTCCTGGTTTCTGTATAACTTGATCTATTGGTGGATTAGGTTCTAAATATCAAAAAAAAGAAATCAGTTAATATATAGACACAAGAAGACACTTATCTGGTCCCTGTTTCAATTATCAGGGCACATAAAATAACTTTAACTGGATATAACTGAGGACAAATTTTCTCATAATTGTAATTTGATTGATTGATTTAGGTGCTGGGGAGTCAATCAGGCAGCAGTCCACCACTGGGCTATATCTCCAATCCCACTGCAATGTTTTTTGCAAAGCAAAAATTAATTGCAGTGATAGGAGATTTAAAAAATATTTTCTACACAGTTAAGTTGAAACCTATTAAGGAACTCACCTTTACAACATGGAAATATTTTAATCCAATACTCAAAACACCAACTGAGGGATAAAAGGCCTACTAATTCTTTCCAATATTTCTCTCAATTTTAAGGACATCTTCTTTACTACCAACAATGATTTGCTTAACATATGAGATTCTGTTTTGTATGGATATTTCTTTTTACAGAAATGCTGTTGGACTATCTAATATTCTTAACAAATTTTCAGGACATGCAAAATGTTTTTAGAATCATAAAATCTCTAGGAAATTCATGAAAAATTCAAAGAAAGATATTTCAGCTAGACAACAATTAAAAACAAAGAAATCTTGCTTCTACCTTCAATTTAGTAAAAATACCCTCTGTGGTTGTTCAGTAACTTCTCTATTGGTGTTCCTTTGGATCCGTCTTACTTCTATTTACTCTCTTCCTAGAAAATCAGTCTATTTTGCTAATTCAATTGCTACTTATCATTATCATTTGTGAAAATTCACGAACCTCCTTAACTGAATTATTCTCTGCTATATTCCAGACCATACTTACAAGTGCCTTTAATGTGAGGTTTTGTTTTCACACCTTCTTTAACAGGTAGCATAACCCAAACCAAATTCATATCACTATGCTTACTTACTCTTGCCCCTTTCCCTTCATCCAACACCCAAATCTGTCTTATACTGTGTTATCTACCTACCTAATCACCCAGGAAAAAATTTTCATTTACTCTTCATACTACAGTTAATAAAGCTATAGAATAAGATTTTGTTCAGGTGTTCTAAATCAAAATCCAAGTTCTTCTAATTATTAATTTGAGACCCTAGCTTAAACTGTTTTTATACTTATATCAATAGGATAAAACAATAATATGTATTTTTAATCCTTTTACCCTCCACATTAAAAAAAAAATCAAAACTAAATTATACAGTTATAGTTTGCATCTTCACCTTTCTTGTTTTTTTCTTTTTTTCCAAAAGAAAATTCTAATTTTACTATCCTTTTTCCCCTAAATTTATGAGAAAATTTGCTTTGCTTTTTTTGAGGGTACATGGGAAATGAGATTAGGAGAGGAAAAAAAAAGGAATTTTGTGTTTTAAGTTTTTGTTTTGTTTTTTGGTACTAGGGATTGGATTTAGGGGGGCTTTACCTCTGAGCTCCATCCCCAGCCCTTTTTATGTTTTATTTTGAGATAATCTATTAAATTGCTTAGGGCCTTACTAACTTGCTGAACCCTTTCTATGTTTTGAGACAGAGTCTCACTAAGTTGCTTAAGGCCTCATTAAGTTGCTGAAGCTGGCTTTAAACTTGCCATCCTTTTGCCTCCTGAGTTGCTGGGATTTTAGGTGCGAGTCACCGAGCAATAGAAAACAGGATTTTTTGATTAGAGAGTAGAGAGAGGTAGGTACCAGACAATCAGCTATCTCTCTCTCTACAGTTAAATATAGACATAGATATATAACATATACATGGATAAGAACCTAAATATGGTCTCTTCCTGGAGAATTAAAACCAACACATTTATGGTTACTTCCATCTAAAATAAAACAATTTAAGTGTACTTGGATCAGCAGCTAATCTAACATATTATGAACTGTTACCAGTATTAAATGAATCGACAGAATAACGGTTTCTATACTTATAAAGGTTAATGAACTCTATAAGACCTTTATTCATTATGGCAATATAAACATAAGCAAAATAGAGGACTTATCTGCTTCCGCAAATTTCTACAAAAATGAACTTGAAAAAAGGATGATTTGTGATTTACATCTACAAGACTGGTCATGCTAAGGGAAAAGGTGATTTTAGCAAAATATCATTATTATGACTTAAATTAAAGGGGTACAAACTTGAGCTACGGGTAGGCTATGGATTAGCCAGAGACATACTTAGATGTCTCTAAGATCAAGAGTAAGAATATTCATTACAATAAATAAATGCTTCCAAAAGAGGCAAAGTTTCTGCTTGTTTTTGCCTCTTTTTGTTCTAGTTATTCTGCTTTCCCATTTCTCCTACACTTGGTGGATCAAGTGAAACTGTATTAAATCTAATACTTTAATAGCCCTGACAGAAAAATCAGTAAAAGAAAACATCCATAATTCCTGATGTATGCCCAATCTATGCAAGTAAAATCCCACTACCAAGAAGAAACAGTGATTCCCACTAAGGAAAAGATAATACAGATTAACAAAAACAGAACCCTTTGAGTAATTAGAGCAAATGAGGATAGAATCCTCTGACCAAGGAATTCTGAATCCAGACAACTTGCTCAATGACATCAGAAAGGTATTACACAGGCACACAAGGCTTAAAAGAATTTTTTACCAAAGCAAACATGTAGGGAGTGAAGAGAAAAAAATCCTTCAAACCACACCCTGCCTTAATGAATCAAAATATAGAATTCAGTAATGGTGAAGTTGTAGCATAAAAATGCTGGTGGCTGACTATAAAAATAAGGTGGTGCACAGCTGTAATCACAGTGACTCTGGAGGCCAAGACAAGAGAAGTGTAAATTCAAGGCCAGCCTGGGAAATTAGAAGACCTTCTCAAAACATAAAAGGGCTGAGGATGTGGGTCAGTGATACAGTGTACCTGGATTCAATCCTTAGTACCAAAAAAAAAAAACTCAAAAAGTGGCAAAATATAAAACTATAAAAATTTCGTTAATCTGCTATAATATAAGAGTATAAAAAGAAAGGAAGTCATTCTTGATTGTATAAGGATTTCTTAATATCGCTAAGCTAAAGCTTGGAAGAAGAATGGAAAACAAAACTTGAATGTAGAAAGCACAAGTAAAAGCCATGGATTCTATGTAGACCTCCCCATGAGATTTCTTTTCAATTCTGTCTCTATTAGGAAGATAAAATAGCTGATCTAAGGGCATTTTCAAAATCTTATCAACATATATGGAATTTATAGAACTAGAATTGCTAATCAGAATTACTAATTCTATAAATTCCATATATAAAACAGGAGATTAAGACATTTTTTTATTTAATGATGATTTCTTATAAACAATATAAAATTGTATAAATAATATATAGGCTATTGTGAATTATGAAGGGTCAATAAATAAGGCAAAATATTCTATCAGAAAAAGACCATACAAAATGCTATTACATTAACATATCTTTTAAAAAAATAATTGTGTTGGTAAAAGTAAATTAAAAAGAATACATGTACAAACTGAAAACGAGAGTGCAAATTAATAAACTTTATTCCCTTTCATCCACTATTTCACTTTGTAAATATATGTTCAGAAAATTTTAGATCGTATAATGATTTTTATAGCGTATTTATGATAACCAAAAACTTTGGGAAAATGTAAGGCCTGACTGATTAAATTACTACTTAACATTCACACTCTATAATGCCATGTTACCATTTAAAAAATCATGTCTGCAAAACACTTTCACAAGAATATACAACCTTATTTCTTGGTACCAAGATCTTTTTTCTTTTTTTTTAAAATATTTTATTAATTTTTGATGGACCTTTATTTATATGTGGTGCAGAGAATCGAATCCAGTGCCTCACACATGCTAGGCAAGCATTCTACCACTGAGCCATGACCCCAGCCTCTACCAAGATCATTCTTATATTTGCTTTTATTTGGTGGCGGGGGTGGGGTGGGGGTGGGGCTACCAGGGATTGAACTCAGGGGCACTCAACCACTGAGCCACATCCCCAGCCTTATTTTGTATTTTATTTAGAGACAGGGTCTCACTGAGTAGCTAAGTGCCTCACTTTTGCTGAGGCTGGTTTTGAACTCAGGCTCCTCCTGCCTCAGCCTCCCGAGCTGCTGGGATTACAAGTGTGTGTCACTGAACCCAGCTTTATATTTGCTTTTTAAAATTCTTTCATATTTTGCAATTTTTCCACAATCAATGTTACTTTCATAATATTTTTTAAAAATAGATATTATTTTGAAAGATACTTTACAGAGAAATGAAGACCTACTATATCCAGCAAAGGTATCTTAAATAAAAAACAAAACAAAACAATAAAACAAAATTCTATCACAAAATCCTATAATATCAAATAAGCATACTGAAAATGATTCTTGCCTTTAGAAAGCAGCTTTCTAAATTTCTGTGTTGCTGTTAGCTGTTGTTCAGCATTATTAGAAAAAATCATTTGAACCATATCTGTGGTAATAACTTCTTCCTAAAAACACAAAAGAAAATTTAATTTTTTGCATGACTAGTATCTTTTGCAAACACTGTTTATGAAATATTGTTGAGGTATAATTAAAAATACATTTTTTTTTTTTTTTTTGCAAAATATACCTCTGGAATGGGTACAGTAGAACTGATATCTGGATCCTGGATAGGACTTTCTAACATAGAGTCGTCATTTCTGGGCAAAGAGACATTTCTGCGTTTGAACAACTGCAATAAAGAGAAATCAATGTAAAAGCAAATCCATTTCATAGGGAGATAACAGATGGCATATTAACTGAGTTAATATCCCTGTTTATTAATTCAGGAATAAAAATGAAGGGGGGAGGAAAGAAAGAAAGAAACATGGTGAAGCCATGAACGTAGATTTATAGCTACATTTCTTAAATCAAAAATAAGAAAAAAATCTGGCTATAGTCTTTTTTTTTTTTTTATTGTTGGTTGTTCAAAACATTACATAGTTCTTGATATATCATCTTTCACACTTTGCTTCAAGTGGGTTATGAACTCCCATTTTTAGCCCATATACAGATTGCAGAATCACATCAATTACACATCCATTGATTTACATATTGCCATACTAGTGACTGTCGTGTTCTGCTACCTTTCCTATCCTCTACTATCCCCCCTCCCCTCCCCTCCCCTCCCCTCTTCTCTCTCTACCCCCTCTACTGTAATTCATTTCTCCCCCTTGTATTATTTTTCCCCTTCCCCTCATTTCCTCTTGTATGTTCTTTTGTCTAACCCTGAGGGTCTCCTTCAATTTCCATGCAATTTCCCTTTTCTCTCCCTTTCCCTCCCACCTCTCATCTCTGTTTAATGTTAATCTTCTTCTCATGCTCTTTGTCCCTACTCTGTTCTTAGTTACTCTCCTTATATCAAAGAAGACATTTGGCATTTGTTTTTTAGGGATTGGCTAGCTTCACTTAGCATAATCTGCTCTAGTGCCATCCATTTCCCTGCAAATTCTATGATTTTGTCATTTTTTAATGCAGAGTAATACTCCATTGTGTATAAATGCCACATTTTTTTAATCCATTCGTCTATTGAAGGGCATCTGGGTTGGTTCCACAGTCTTGCAATTGTGAATTGAGCTGCTATGAACATCGATGTAGCAGTGTCCCTGTAGCATGCTCTTTTTAGGTCTTTAGGGAATAGACCAAGAAGGGGAATAGCTGGGTCAAATGGTGGCTCCATTCCCAGCTTTCCAAGAAATCTCCATACTGCTTTCCAGATTGGCTGCACCAATTTGCAGTCCCACCAGCAATGTACAAGTGTACCCTTTTCCCCACATCCTCGCCAGCACTTGTTGTTGTTTGACTTCATAATGGCTGCCAATCTTACTGGAGTGAGATGGTATCTTAGGGTGGTTTTGATTTGCATTTCTCTGACTGCTAGAGATGGTGAGCATTTTTTCATGTACTTGTTGATTGATTGTATGTCCTCCTCTGAGAAGTGTCTGTTCAGGTCCTTGGCCCATTTGTTGATTGGGTTGTTTGTTATCTTATTGTCTAATTTTTGGAGTTCTTTGTATACTCTGGATATTAGGGCTCTATCTGAAGTGTGAGGAGTAAAGATTTGTTCCCAGGATGTAGGCTCTCTATTTACCTCTCTTATTGTTTCTTTAGCTGAGAAAAAACTTTTTAGTTTGAGTAAGTCCCATTTGTTGATTCTAGTTATTAACTTTTGTGCTATGGGTGTTCTATTGAGGAATTTGGAGCCCGACCCCACAGTATGTAGATCGTTGGCTATAGTCTTTGTGGTTCCTAACTGTTCTTCAATCTGTACACACTTCAACAGGATTTTTTTTAAGTGCCTACTATAAATATTAAGATATGAAAGACACCACAGAGCGAGAGATGATAGATCATATTATTAACTGATTAACTGATTGTGATATTGGGGGTTAAACACAAGGGAGCTCTATCACTAAGTTACATTCCCACTCTTTTTCTCTCTTTTTTTGAGACAGGGTCTTGCTAAGTTGTCCAGGCCGTTTTCAAACTTGCAATTCTCCAGTCTCAGCCTTCCAAATTGCCTGGATTACAGAGTATATCATCAACTGACATTTTTTTCTACTTTCTTCACCAATCTTTTAAAAAATTAGTTTTAATTTGTAAATATGAGGGCCAGACCCTCCTATTTATTTGTATGTATTTATAAATCTAAGTAGATCTTGGAATGAAAAATGCTGAGAAGTGCTCTCTAAATGATTTTCTATTCTTTATGTCACATCTGCAAAATATAAACAAAGGAAACTTAAAGAGATCTGGCTGATGAAACTATAGGAGGAACAGAATGAATGAATAATATGGAAGATTACTATAATTAACTTAAAAGATGAAAAACACAAAGCAGTAAATAAACATAATTAATGTTTTCTAGGAAGCACATTTTAAATGAAAAATGGCAGTGATCTAAATGAGTCAAGAGTAAAAATAAAGTGGGGTAGAAATATGATAATATGAAAGGTTTATCCATAAAATGAAAAATCCTTTCTATAAGTGACTAAAAATTGCACAGGGATTTTAATTCATAAATTTGCAAATATTATTCCTGGAATCTAATAAATTAAAAAGTAGATTTACTTATAATCAATTTTTAAGTTTCCACTTAAAGTTACCTAAAAATTAGCAATAATTAAACTTTTCAACCTCTGTAAAAATTTTCTCAAACAAAAATAAATATTTAAAAATACCGACCTGTTCTTCCCTTTTTTGTTTTCGAAGCTGTATTCCTTCTTCTTCTCTTCTTCTACGCATCTCTTGAGGATTTAGGGCTTTATTCTTATAACTTTTCATTCTGTAATTATCTTTCCCTGGACTAGCCATGGAATCTTAAAGAAAGAAAAAAAACCAGACATGGATAACTCTCAAAACAACATAAGATATTTCCTCTAGAGCAACTAAATTCAGGCTCACGGATTACACAGATCTCAAAGATCATTCTGAAACTCATGTCCAAAGAGCAAAATGAGCAATATTTTAGGAATTACATGTTTGTCATAAGTTTGTTTTCTGTTACTTTACCAAAACACCTGAAGTCAGAGTAATTTATTTTAAAAGAGGTTTATTTAGTTCAAAATTATGGAGGCTGGGAAAGTACGGGAATCTGCGTGGCTTGTGGATAGGGCAAGAAGTTAGACATGTGCAGAGGGGAAGGGAACAAAGATGTTGACTAGCTCATAAGATCCACATTTATGAGAACTAATGCATTTCCACAACAAGACATTAATCCGTCTTAAAGGGCCCAACTCTGAACAATGACTGTTACGTTGGCAAATTTCCAAATTGAGTTTTAACAGGGACAAATCATGTACAAATCATAACAGTATTAGACAAATAACAAATTTTAATCTAAATACAAAGTTATTACCCTTATTTCATTAAGATTCAACAACCTTCCTTACTCTCTTACCTCCCATGGTACTTTGACCTTTCTGAAGTAGGATGTATCTGACAATTGCTGTAAGTCAGGAAATAATAATGAACTATTTAGGTAATCAAAAAAGAAAAAAAAAAAAACACTTCTAAATTATAGCTTCTGACAAAATAAAGAAATAGCCAGCACTAAATAGTCTTATTTTCAATGAAATACAGTAGCAGGATTCAATAAGCATACCTCAAATATTTACTGGGGTCTGGCTTCTTTCACTTACTTAAGGTACTGTCTTAAATTAAATACTAAGGCCATAAGCTTCATAACCTGAGTTATAACTACAATGTCAGTGCTCAGTCCTCCAGTAATAATTAGTTCTTTCTCAATATTTATATATTCTATCTTTAAAGTTTTGCTACAATTGTATTTCAAAATAGATATACTTAAGTATATATAAAAATATAATATAAAATTTTATATCTGAAGTATATGTACTACTATGAAATGGGCTGGGGCTGTAGCATGCCTAGCATGCATGAGGCACTGGGTTTGATCCTCAGCATCACATAAAAATAAATAAATAAAATTAAGGTATTCTGTCCCTCTCCAACTACAAAACAAATTTTTAAAAAAATAATAAAAAAAGAAATTTCATGTTTGAAGTATATGTACTACCTTTTACTTTTAAAAATGAATTGCATAAGTAAACATTACATTGATAGTTTGCTTTATCTGATATGAATACTAAAATAATGATACTGTATCCTATTCTGGATTTACATATGAAGAAAAATCAGTTTAAAGCAGTGTTCTCACTTAAGTTAAATATGAGAGATAGTTACTACCTAGTATGTTACTCTGATGAATTCAGAGGCTAACAACTAGGCCTAACCAGATGATATTATCAATCAGCTTATGAAGTAAACACAAAAGGAGAAGCTGGCTTTTATCTGGCATCCCAGATACAGTAGACAGACTAATAAAGGAGAAGATTTTATTGTATAATAAAGTACAAAATACATATGCATTAAATCCTATAAGAACATCTTGAGGCACTCTGAACGGCTTCACTGTTATTCTATCTTGATGAGACAAATTCTCCAGGGAAGAGGATAGAAAGGAAAGAGAAGCAACAAGCATTTCAAACAGGACTATACACAAAAGCAATGTTTTCGGAAGAACCCTGGCATAGCCAGGTGCTGTGATGCTTGCCTATAATCCCAGCAACTCAGGAGGCTGAGACAGAAGGATTACAAGTTTGAGGCCAGCCTGGGCAACTTAGCGAGATCCTGTTTCAAAATTTAAAATTAAATAAATACAAATAATAAAATATCCCCAGTACAAATAAATAATAATGATAATAAAAAGAAGCCTTGTACAGCCTCAGAACAGGAAGAAATCCAGTATACCTGAACAAAAGGATGCAAGAGAAAAGGGACAAGAAATAAAGCTTTAAGGGTAAAACATACGTGGTTCTTGAAATCCAGTTCGGAAATTTAGATTTGATCCTAAAGAATAAAATCAAAGAGATTAAGGAAAAAGTTGTCTCAAGTAGTACGGGGAGAGAAAAGAGAGATGCTGAAGACCTAAATTATATTAGTAAAATAAAAATATAGAAGATAAGTTAGATTCCAGAAGTATTTCTGAAACAGATTCAGTAAGATTTAGAAGCCAAATTTAACAGATATGTAGTAAGGACTAAAAGGAATTGGAGTATGACTTCATAGTTTTTAAGCTTGAGCCATTTCAGTATTATGATAAAATAACCCAAAACAGGAAATAAACTTGAAGATCAAGAGGATCAAAGGAGTGGTTATTTTGTTTGCCTGCTTGTTTCTGAGGGAATAATGATGAATTCAGTTATTTTAAGTTCATTTTTACAATTATATTCAGTAAAGATCACTTTGGCTTGTAGTTCTGTAAATTGAACAAATGCATAGTCATAAAACCATCACAGTCAAGACACAAGAGTTCCTTTACCCCTAAAAAAATTGCCTCATGCTGTTCCTATTAACCCTCTCCCTAGCCCAGCCACCATGCTTCATACTTGGGAACCACTGATTTGTTCTGTAGCTGTATACTTATGCTTTTCCCTGAATTATACATAAATGGAATTGTATAGCATTCAGTCTTCTGAATCCACCTCCTATTTGCATCATCCCTGTTATTGGCATTATTGTTAGTCCCTTCCTATTGCCAAGGAGCATTTCACTGTTGGGATATATCGCATAGCTATTTGGTTTTCAGCTGAAGGACATTTGATTTGTTTCCAGTTTTAGGAGGTTATAAATAAATCTGCTACAAAAATTCACATACAAGTGTTTCTGTAAACATAAGTTTTTTGACTCCTCTCAAGTAAATATTTAGGAGTAGAACTGAAGGATAATATGGTAAGTGTGTATTTCACTTTATAAGAAACTGCCAAACTGCTTTTCAAAGCTACAATACCATATTGCCTTCTCATTGGCAATATATGAGAAAGAGTTCCAAATGTTCTGCATTCTGTCTCCACTTGGTATTGTCAAGACTGTTGGTATTGTTGTTAATTGTAGCCATTGTAATAATTATATACTGACTCTAGTACATACTTTGACATAGGTCCTTACTGATCATCTAATATCATGGAGAGTTATAAAAAAAAAATCATCAAAGGAGAACTCTTGAGGAAATTCACATTTTAGCAGAAAAACGGAGAAAACTTGAGGTCACCAGTAAAGTTTGACAAATTTCAGTAGTGATAGAGCTAGAGGTAGAATGGAATGGACTAATGATTTGAGAATGTGGGCTGTGGGTATAGATCAGTGGTAGAGTGTGTGCGTTAGCATATCCAGTGCCCTGGGTTCAATTCATAGCACCCAAGAAAAGAAGCTAGTTTGTGTCTTTGAAGTTAACCCCTGTGTATTCTGGAAATTAAAATGCATTTATATTTGACCAAAATTCCTTTTTAAAATATTTAATGGATTTTAGCAATATTGCATGCACTTGTAAGTAATCATCATTAGAAACTATTCAATCTTAACTTTTTAATAACGTTTAGTATTACTCTTATTATCTTATATATAAAGAAATCCTCTATCTCACTAAGAGCTTAAGCTCCAAAAGGAAAAAGAGAGATCAGAGTTTATTAAAGAGCAAACTAGGCCTCAACATTAGTTGCTGAAATATGACCAACAAGTGGAAAATATTGTAATGAGAATATTCATGGCAATAAATCTCTCAAGATATTTAGCACCTATATATATCACATTTTCTAGACCACCTCTAAGCTTTTTTGATCACACATCTTTACATATGTAAAATGTGTGTATTCATCCTCAATATTTATTTCTAAACACCTATTACTATGCTAATATGCTACCCCATCATAAAATTACAAAAAATTTTATTTTTTTAAAAAGGACATTTTTAGCTGGGTGCCATGGCAAACGCCTGCAATCCCAGTGGCTTGGGAGGCTGAGGCAGGAGGAGTTCAAAGCCAGCCCCAGCAACAGTGAGGCGCTAAGCAACTTGGTGAGACCCTGTCTCTAAATAAAATACAAAATAGGGCTGGGGATGTGCCTCAGTGGTCTACTGCCCTAAGTTTAATCTCCAGTACCCTCCCCCAAAAGGGAAATTTTTAAAAAGATGGTTCTAATGTTTTCTTTCCACATTTAATTGGATCATTTTGTGTCCCCAAACTGGTACTACCACACACACGCAATCTAGATGCTACTTCTGAGACCGCTAACCTAGGCAACCAGACTAAAACATTTAACAGAAATGTTTCAATATAAATTTGTTATCCAAATAAAATATAGCCCCCAAATTCATATATCACTTTTCCCTTTTTCTTCTATAGTATGCTTCTTACTTAATGCCTGCGTTTTCCTGTCTTGCTTTAAAGGTGATGTGAAGGCCAAGGAAAATAATCTCTAAAGATGTCCCATCCAATGAAATTGTTTTGTTCACAGGAAAATACAATTTAAAAGACTGATTCAAAAGCTGGGGGCATTTGAGGATGGGGTTGTGGCTCAGCGATAGATCACTTGCCTGGCATGTGTGAGGCCCTGGATTCGAATCTCAGCAACACATATAAATAAATAAAATAAAGGTCCATCAACAACTTAAAACAATCATTCTTAAAAAAAAAAAAAAAGCTGGGGCATTATAAGTTACTTTAAATATATATATAAAAAAAGTTGTACAATCACGTTAAATTTGCAAAACAAGAGAAATTTTTTTCACTCATAAGCTTAATTTTTTACCCAGTTCTTAGAAAAATCATGTTTAAGTTAAGCAAATAATTAGAATCTGAACTTAGTATTTTCTTTTTTTCTGATATCTGTCAATTGAATTTTTCCTGCTAGTAAAGACTTCATTTCCACGTATCTGACCTTCCCACTAGAAAAATTACAAAACTGTACAAAGAGCTAAGCACCCACCTGACGCCCCTACAACCAAACAGGCAGTACTTAGTTCTGAAGACAGAGGCGTTCCTTGCTCACCAGGAAATCCTCTTTCCTATAAAACACGAGTCATTATTGAGTACCGAAATTGCGAGACGAAGTCACAAGTCTTTTATCTTTCTTCGATGTATTCAAAACGGTCAAGAGTTAATGTCAGTTCCATATTTTTGAAGTACCACCGGCGTTTAATGCTTTCAAATCCTTACACGCATTATCGATTAAACACTATTAAATTTTTCATCTCGGAACGGAGATGTGTGGAACCCTGGACTGAGCGCTCTCAGGCCAGCAGGTACAAGAAGGGCAGCTGGAGGAGGTAGAACTGCTTCACGTAGGTAACCCGAGGATCCTGTCTCTTGCAGTGTGGCATTTCCATAAACTCCCAGCCACTGGTTACCAGGTGTGAGCAGCCACGTTTGGCAAGACTACGTACTGAGAAGAACCACCCAGAAACAGTGAGCGACTGAGGTGTGACGATCAGATCCGCTGCCTAAAGCTCCTTCCAAGGACCAGCCTGGCTGTCAGAAAGAATCTCTCACGGCGCTTTCTAATCTACAAGGGAAAGTCGGGCTGCCACGCCCCCACGACTGCTGTCACCCTCTGGAAAATCTGAGAAACACCCTTTAGGGCCAGGTCCAGAACCCTTCGAAAGGAAACGAGTCAATAAAAACAGTGGCCACAGAACTAATGGAATTCAAAAGGACCAAGCCTGGATTTCCCCAAACTGGCCTGTGTCACTCCCACTTACCCATTAATGTGATATTCTCCGGTGCCCTGACTCCAGTGCGGGCGGAGATAAGGTCGGCTTCAGGTAACAGAGTGGCGGTCGTTCCTAACCTAGCGCGAGCGTAGCGACCCGGTTCGCATTCCAAGATGGCGGCCACCTGAGCCCCTTACCCGAGACCCCGAGGCTTGGCTCCCAGAAGCCCTTGCGCTCGGCGGCGGCGGCGGCGGCGGCGGCGGAGGCGTGGCCGCACAGACTAGCAGAGGGGCGGGGTGAAGTGCACGCCTCAGCCACGCCCACTCAAGGAGAAGCGGCCTGACGGAAACCTAGGGTTCTTCACGCTTGCGGTGACCGGGCTGTGCGCTACTGTCCCTAGCTTAATACGTGTTAAGGAGGCGAGCTCTGATTCATTCATTAATTCATTCATTCACCTATCCATCCTTCAACCTAGTATTGATTGAAAGCCTAATCTGTGCCAGCCACTGTTTTAGGTATTGGGGATCCAGTACTAAAAACAAAACAAAACGGCAAAAATTCTCACCGCATGAAATTTACACCGTGTCTTTCACCTTCATGAACTTCTTCCTATATGCTCATTTGTTTCAAGCTTCTTAATTGGCCATTCATATATAATCTGGGGTTCTATAATATCTGCAAGGTTTTGACAAATATGTAATCACTGATGTATGTAATGAATAGTAATTCCAGATAAAATGCTCTAGAAATCTATCCCAAATACCCAGCCCTTAACCCACCCTGTAGATCAAAAACCAGTATTGAAAACAGACTAAATTCTAGATGTGATACTAAGCACAAAATTCACAAGAGAAATAGCAATAATTCCTATCCTGAAGACATTTGCAATATTTTAGGAGGGTGAAGGGGAACATGACAAATTGTTAGGTTTACTATGTTCAACAGTTGAAAAATAAGCAAATTATTTAACTGTGCTTATGTGTGGCTGAGAAACAAAGAGAGCTGCTTGATTGACAAAGGAAACCTGGGCAGGGCTTTTGAAGTATTAATAGGATTTTATCTATCTTAATCTCTTAGCAACTCTCCCCCTTTTCTATTTCCTTTTTCTGCTCCCTCCAGAGAAACAAAATACACAGACCTGGTAATTGCCTCATCATAAAACTGTTGTGACTACATTTCATCCAGTAGAATAATCTCCCCACTTCAAGATCCATAACTTAATTATATCTGCAAATTCTTGTCATTTTAGATTTGGAGAGGCAGAGAAATGTAAATGTACATGTTCAATCTACCACATTTACCCACAAAATCCCCAGAATACTTTAAAAAAAAATAAACTGTTCATCATCGGATCATGCATCCATCCTTAAAGAAAAGTGGACAACACAACACCATGTCCCTGAATGCCCCCCTATCAATTCCCCCAAACCTTCCCAAATTATGGAAACAATGACAGTAACTGGGCTAAATATGTCTAAATGCCTATTATCACACAGAACACTGGCTCACCCTTTCTCTTTTACCCTGAGAACTAGGGCAAGTTAATGTTATCTGTATACAGTTATTTTCTTGTTTTAACATCAGGACTGTTGCTCCTTGGGAAGCTGGTCACACAAACAAACTAAACAAGCTAATACTGATTATATTACTGCTTCTACAGGGTAACATATAAAACCCCTTTTTCAGTGGTGACTGAGGTAGAACTGAAGGCACTGTGGAAAGGACACATATCATTCGTCCCACTGGTCACCGCTGAACAAAAAACTGAGGAAAAAGAGGCACTGCTTGGCAAAGCACCTTCAGGGACAGGTGCTATCTGTTCAGTCTGTCACTTCTGGATCTTCCCCTTAAGCATTTATCAATAAAGCCTTATGCCTGTGTCCTCAGGTATTAGGCTTATATCTATCAATAGGTGGCCCATTCAGGACGATCTTTCTTCCTAAGAGACACTGGTGGTAAGATCAATGTAGTATGGCCCATACTTAAAGGGCCAGTAACAGATACTAGAAAAAGAAACTAAGAAACAGTGAAGCAGAGGAACCCTGAAACCATGGCTGACAGACGGGAACCTTTAAAACAGACAGATCTGCTCATACAGAATTTCTTCCACTTACAGTACATCTGACAGCTCAACTCCAACTGCAAGACTGTATAATTTGGAAAGCTATTCAAAGCCAGATTGTTACAGTAAAATATTATCCTTTTCTTAGGCTTATAAGTATAGGTGGCCCTTTCTTCACCTCACTTTACTCTGACAGACCAACTCCAATTATAAGATTGTACAAAAAAGAAACAGACAACCAGAAAGGATCTGACTGACAGATGGGAACCTTTTAAAGACCAGCCAAGAACTTTCCCAAGAGACTACTCATAAAATCAACATGTCTTAAAAGAGGTAGTAACAGACACAAACAAAAACATAGACATATAGAAGGAATTCCCAAATTCAAGACCAACAAACCAATGAGAACCTAGAACAGACCTGAAATAAGTAAATATCTCTAGGTTCTCAAGTCCTGCTTGACCATGTCTCCTACACCTGTGGCATCACAGATGTCCCCACAGAGAGGGATCAGATGTTCTCATGAAGAGGAACCAGATGTGTGGAATCGAGGGTCTCAATGCCTGAGGAATTCACCAGTTGGCCAACGATGTGGCTACTTTACTAAGTTCAGTTTCCTTTTTTTTTCAAAGTGGCCCAAGATGGAGCAACCCTACAATTCAGGAGAGAAGGAAGGCTGGGGTTTCTGATGCAGAAAAAGCTCAGGCAACTGCTGGGAGAGTCTCTCAGTCCCTCCCCTTACTCACAGGAATAGTTCCTCTGATTTCACCTGAGGCAGACTTTCCTAATTCCTGCAATTGGCCCTCAACAAGTTCTCCAACCACCTTGCATCCTCAGCACATGGAAGTGGGGCTGCTTGGAGAGTCAGGCCTGCCCAAGAAACAGAGGTTGCTGTTGAGTTCCATCTGGGTTGCCAAATTTTTTACTAAAAGTTCAGTCCTTGTCCTCAATGCCAACCTAACAATGAGGACACAGTTTTGAGAAAAAGGGAAAAGAAGTTTTATTGCTTTGGTATCAATGGAGAAACACAGAGGACTCCTGTCCCAGAGGCTATGATTCTGTCCCTCAAGGGGAGCAGGGGACTTTTAAAGAGGTGATTCAAAAACTACATTTCACGTGTTTTGTCCAGAGTTGTAATTAATTTGTTAATTTGGGAGCTCTTTTGGTGCCACCCACAAAAATCTGAATTACTGCATCCCTGAGGTGGTGTATACTCAAGGACAGATGGGAAAGAAAGGTAATCCTATTTCCTATGAGATTAGGGAGGAAAGGATTGGGGAGGTGTAGAAGAAAGGAAGAGAAACATGTTCTTTTAAAAATAAGTCACAGTGGCAGAGCACTAAGGCTATATTCAAAGCATAAAATGGACCACTGTTACAAACCTATCCTGCTGCCCTGGCACAACTAGGCTTTGGATATGACATAATGTATACACCTATTTAAATATCCCAGTAACTTTCTTAAGGTCCTACAATGATCTGATCACTATCTACAACTCTGGCTTTATCTTGTAATTATTCTTTTCTATAGCACATTTTGCTCTAATTCCAAAGTGTTTTGTTTTGACTGTAGCCTTAAAACTTCATTGTTGTCATTTTATCTGACTGAAATGTTCGCATGTTGTTGATGGGTTTGTTCATCTGCACCCTCCCCTCCTCACAGAGACCTAACATTAATTTCTCTTTAAGCCAATTTTAGTTATCTTCATAGCAGTTGTCAAGATTAGTTTATTACTTATTTATCTTCTATGACTCACCAGAATGTAAACATTAATTGTTCCGGATGTTGTGTATTTTGGTTACTGCTGCAGCTCTACTTTCAAAATGCCTTTCCCCCCATATTTTAAAAATTAGTATAGAATGACTTTTTAAGGTACAGCTTTTTAATATTTGTTGAATATTAAAAAGACAAATATTAGCTATGGGTGATATTTTAACAATGAGGAAAAAAATCTTAGTTATTATCCAAAACTGTGGTACACATTTTTTAGCTTGACACCTACACAGACCGTTTATTGATACTAGAATAGAGGACTACTCTAGACAATGAGTAAGTTAGGCTCCTATTTGCTTTAAGACCCACCCAATATATTTGCTCAAATGTGGTATTAAAACCCTTAGAGTCTTAGTTCTCTTCTTAGTGGATAAGGTGTTCAAATCTTAATGACAGGATCAAATCTGCTATAGGGAAAGATGCAAAAAATCCAAAAACGAAACAGAAAACAAACAAACAAAAAAATCTCCAAAGCCTACAACTCCCAGAATGCACTGCAACGCAGACCGGCGCGGAGCAGGGCACACTGGGATTCCTTCCGTCCGGGGCAATGAGGAATTGTTTTCTTTTTTTTTCCTTGAATGCAGTTTTGGGGCTAGGATTTTGGGGTGTCGCTGATTATTTCTCGGCTGTGAGTGTTTGGTATTTGAAGATTTGGAGAGTCTGGCCGTAGTCTTTCAGGCCGGGAGAGGTAGTGGACTCCCCGCGCTCGCTCCTCTGCTGGCGGGACCGACGGCCGGACTGCAGCGCCGGACCCGAAGAGGAAGCCGAGTGGAGCGCAGTGTGGCACTTGCTGGACCCCGGGTCGGTAAGAACTGACGGCCCCCGTTCTGATTCCTCCGGCTTCAAGTTGTGACCCAGTTAGGGTCTGGATCGGTTTCGTGTTCTAGCTCGGGACCTTGGCGCAGAACTTGGACAGACTCCGCCTTGCGGAAATCCTGCCCCACCCCCTCCCTGACCTGGCACCTTGCCCCGCCCCCAACCTGACCTGGTACCCTGGGAGACTCCTGCCACTGGCCTTCAGTCTCTCACTTCTGAGCCTTGTCACATGAAGTGTATCCGGTGCCATGTCCTAGCCGCTAGAATAAACTCTAGTGTGGTGTTCCTAGCACTAGGGAACCAAGAGAACTTCCTTCTAAAATCAGACTTGTTTTCACTTGCATGTAGAGAAATGAGGAAAAGGAGGACAGGGTAGGGAGGCCTGTAAATATATTTAAATGAAGGAAATAATGTCCTTATTTTTCTTTTCCTGTTTGTTATAGAATAGTTCTAAGCTGAACAATGGTCTGTAGTAGCAGGGTGGTGGCCGTGATTGTTTACAAATTACTTATTAACACTACCTGATTCGTAGTCAGTACTTTATTACTTCATAAAATCCAAAAGTAACTGTTAATACAACCCGTTTTACAGACCGAACCTCAAAGAGATGACACCACTTAATGGTGAAACCCGGAACTGTAAGACAGTTTTCTAGACTTGGAAATAAGTTTCTATTAGAACTTCTTGGCTTTTCTCCTTTGGGTTGAATACAGGCTGTGGAGCATGACCAGGTTAGCATTTTGGCTTCCACCTTTTCCTGGCTACCTTGTCCTATCGTGGGTTTCTTTATGTGTAAAAAGATATTAAATAATACTTCAGTTAGTGTGATATATCTAAAGTTGTTGAAATGCCATTAAGATATGTTTAGTTCTCCTTCCCATTATAACCTACCTTAAAGTTCTATATTTAGGTCAATCATTCAATAAATAGGTGACTTCCCCTCCCTCCTCCTTGCAAGCCCTCTGCCACTGGGCTAAATCCACAGCCCCTAGGTTACTTCTCTTTGTTGTCTTTTACCTGACTTGTTTTACCTGGAAATTAAATTTATTTTTAATTGAAATTTTTTGTTGTTGTTGTTTATGCTGAGGCTTCACACATTCTAGGCAAAGGCTTTACTACTGAGCCTTTCCCCCAGACAATTTCTTAAACATTTTTTTCTACTGCCTTGGACCAGATATACCTTTTGAAATATTTTATTTTTAAAATTATTTGTTTTCATTGTTATTACCTTTGACAGCTTGAAACAGAGTACGTATTGAACATCTCCTATCTGAAGTGCTTGGGTCTGGAAATGTAGATTTGGGATTTTTTTAGGATTTTGGACTACTTACAAATGCATAATGAGATTGATATCTTGAGGAAGGAACCCAAATCTAACCATAAAATTCATTTTTGTTTCATGTGTACCTTTGTTTATGTTTCATAAGCAACATATATATATATATATATATATATATATATATATATACAGTCTGAAAGGAAACAACTTATATACCTAGTCTGAAAGTTTTTAATGTGCTTGTATTTTAATTGCCACCCATCCTTTGAGGTCAGGTGCAGAATTTTCAACTGAGGCAACATGTCAATGCTCAGAGTTTTCAATTGTGTAGGATTTGGGGTTTTCGAATTAGGGATGCTCAACCTGTAAAGAAATTTTGATTGAGATGTCAATAAGTTTGTGTATTTGAGGAACAGTAAGTACATTGAAAATTTCTTCACCATAATAATACAGCACTAACTACCAGAGAATTGTCCTAAATCATTTTATGAAAGGCATTTTTTTTCAACTCCTACTTTGACACTAAAATAATATTGTGTTCTTTATTCTAGCTACTGTCATACCATGCTTTCCTGTGACATTTGTGGTGAAACAGTAACCTCAGAACCGGATATGAAGGCTCACCTGCTAGTTGTTCACATGGAAAATGAAGTTATATGTCCTTTTTGCAAATTGTCAGGTGTAAATTATGATGAAATGTGTTTTCATATTGAAACTGCTCATTTTGAGCAGAATACACTAGAGGAAAGAAACTTTGAGAGGATAGATACAATGCAGAATGGAACTTCAAATAACAAGGACAACAGTCTACAGAGTACAGTGGGAGTTAATTCAAGTATTCATTCAGCTTGTGCATCTAATCATCCAAAAGGTTCAGCTCAAAGCTTGCCTGAGGATGATACTTTAAAACGTAAAGAAGTTTATTCAGAGAACTTAAGTGAATCTAGAAAATTCCAGAAAAGTAGGGGAAAACAGTCTGGCTTATCTGAAATAAAAGAACCAATTTATGAAACAATGTATAGTCCTCCTGAATGTCCATTTTGTGGAAAAATAGAGGAATGTGGTCAAGATATGGAAACTCATGTGAAAACAAAGCATGCCAGTCTTTTAGACACTCCATTAGAAGGTAAAGTGTTCATTTTATTATAAATTATTATAAGTAACAGTAGTCTCAGTTTAATATGAAGGGTCTTAAAGTTGGTTTGTGAGATGACTACTTTTAAAACAATCAAGTTTAAGTGTATAAAATTATGTGTATTGCCATTATTGCAATACAAAAATACAGTTATGAAAAAGGATTTTGATGCAGATTTATATATAACGTTCCATTGAGATTAGTTTTGGAACTTGTGTTTTACTTCCCCCAGCCCATTGGCATCTAGACTGTCTTAGATTCTGATTTTGTATTAATTTCTTCTTTGACTACATTATCATCAGGGAATACATTATGATATCAGCTCTTTTGAAGTTTTTGAGGCTTATTTTGTGGCTCATGTTTCATGGGTGGTTGAGGAAAAAAGTATATTCTGCTTTCTTGGGTAGAGGATACTTACTATACATGTTACTTAAGATCCTATTGTTTGTGTTTAGATTATCTGTTTTCTTGCTGATTTCCTGTCTAGTATTGTCTACCAAATTTTTGAGAAGGAATTGTTGAAATCCACATTTATAATTGTAAATTTGCTTATTTTTCCTTTCAGCTCTGTCAGGTTTTACTTATGTATTTTGAGGCTTTATCATTGGTGCATATATACTTAGGATCTTTTGTCTTTTTTCCCCATATATTTTTATTGATGCATTATAGTTGTACATACTGATTTATGCGTTTTTCTTAGTGTCAAGCTTTAAGATTTCTTTGTGTATTTGGATACAGGTCCTTTATATATATTTTGCGATTATTTCTCCCAGTGTGATGCTTTTAATTTTAATAGTTTGTTTTTCACAGAAGGAAGTGTTAAGCAGAACTTAACATTTGTTTATGACTCATGCTTGTGGTGCTATATCTAACAACACAATGCCAGTTTCTAAATGTTTTAGAGTTTTTGCATTTTACAGTTAGATTGCTGATCCATTTGAATTAGTTTTGTAAATGGCATAGTCAGTGTCTAGATTCTCTTTTATGCGTTCCCTAATTGTCAGTGAAATTAATACCTTTTTCACATATATATTTTAATTTCCTCTATTACAAGGTACATGTTACATTTTTTGTATACTTTTCAATTGAGTTAAGTGCATTCTCCAACTGTTGTTATATTCTTGTCCAATTATCTGTTGTCTTTTTTAGTTGTTTTTAAAATATAGTCTCAGTACTAGTTCTTTACTGCAGCTGTATTCAATAGGCTATTGGTTATGATTTAATTTTGCTCAGAATTTAACTTTTATTTATGTACACTTTACATGTATTGTCTAAAAACATGCTCTTGACTTGAGTTTCTAAATGTATTCTCTATATTTTCTCCTAAAACTCTTAATTCTTTGTTCTTTTTTCCCACCTTTTTAAAACTTCATCTGGATTGTGTATGTAGGTATCAAGTGTACTGTATATGTTGTGAGAATTTAAGATCTAAGTTTTGAGTTTTTCCTTTTATAGAAACCAGGTTTAACACTGATTTTATCTTGTCTTTTTTTATTAAATTTTCATATATGTATGGCTCAGTATCTGTTCTTTTAGTGCTATTTTATTTATTTGCTTAACTGTTATGACCTCACTTTCTCACTGTTTTCATAACTATGGCTTTATAACATGTTATTGATATCAGATAAGATAGTTCTTCTCTTTCTTTCCATTATTAACGTAGACATTCTCATTACTTTTGAATCTTAGAATCTTTTTGTCAAATTCTTTGAAAATTCTGTTGAAATATTTGAAATTATATCAAAGTACATTTCCACATGAATTTAAGTCATCTTATATCCCTTAATAAAGTTTTTTGTTTGTTTTTTTTATTGCATATTTGTGCTAGCTTTATCCTGTAGTTCAATTTCCTTTGCTTTTGTAAACTGGAGTTTTTCTCTTATATAATTAACTCTTGCCCATTTATAGAAGCACCATCAGTTTCTAAGGTATCTAGTCTTGTTCAAATCTTACTAATTTTGATAGTTGTCTGTTGATTCCTGCCAGTGTTCTAAGTAAATGCTTTTATTATCTACTAATGAAAGAATTAACGACTGGGACAAGGACCCCACTGATGATAAGTGCCTGATACTACTCTGTTGTATACTGTTTCCTACAAGTTTCTCAGCAAGCTAGTGCCAAGTTTGTTTTATGGTAGCCTTATGAGTTTGAATGTGTAGTTGAGTGAAAAACAAGCTGATTGTCATTAAAGGTACAAAAATTGCAAAATTAGGTAGTTGGATTTAACTAATATTCAGGTACAATAAAAGAAACAAGGGAGTTTGATGTTGGTTTAAAGGAACAATAGTCATGGAGGCATGGAATCTAGGCTGAAAAATAAAAAGTCATGGAGGCATGGAATCTATGCTGAAAAATAAAAAGTCAACAGAGAGGTGATGAGTGATAAAAACACAGGGCCTGCATGTAACTTCTTTTTAGCAGTTTTAATTAAGCCAAAGACTTTAGACTGGTAGAACTAAAAAAGAAAAAAAAAAAAAGGTGGGAGGATGAGAGGAGAAATATTTAGAATAGAGATTTCAAAGGTGGGTCAGTTATTGGAGATACAAATGAAGTGTCTATTCTTATTAATCAATGGCTCAGTCAGGGTAAAGAAAAAGATTATTGGGAATGAAGGTAAAGAACCATTCCTATGGATATTGAAGTTGCTAAGAATAATCACAATATAGGGGCTAGAAAAAGATGATTGTCATTCAAGGGCTGAAATCTAAAAGACATGTCTAAAATTTTAGAAAATATTAACTACTAAGAAGGGGTATGGAATTCTATATTCTAGTGACACGAGTTAGTGAAAGATGGAGATTTTGAAGAAACAAGGAAGAAAACTGGTTTGAAAATAATGAAAGGGAACAAAAGAGACACTGTTTCTACTTCTGGGACCCTGAATTGTGAAAGAAAAATTGCTTATGTGTGTGTTCAGGAACTGTCAGGGAAATGAACCAACTAGATTTCAGTTAATGCAAGAAGGTAAAATGAATATTCAGAGAAAAAATTGTGGATATAAGAGGCTGACTGATGACAATGTGATTTCTGGAGGGTATAATAGGAAACTTTGAGGGAATAAAAATGATAATAGTTCAGTAAAATGAGTGGATGTACTAAGGATGGTTAAAGCCTTAAGGCACAGCCTCTGACTTATTTGAATGGATTGTTAGAATAGTGACAGAGGTATTATCAGCCCTGGATGGCCAATGACAGCTAAGCTGTGGGACATGGACTTTTAGTGGTTTAGTATACAGGGATATGAAGTGTAGTGCTTGCACATTGAGGAAAATTGATGATGAGTTCAAACCAGAAGAAATGGAGAGATTGGCTTGCCATAGTGAGTGTGATGCCCAAAAAATGAGCAAAAGCTTCCTTTGGGCATTGGTTCTGAGACATTTTATCATAGAGAACTGACTGAAAGAAAAAAATTTTTTTATGTCCTAGCTACAACCTTTTTAATGTCCTTTATGGAAACTGTATACTTTTATTTCTTAGTGCTGTTTTGGAGAATATTTTCAAAGATTGACTTTCCTCCTGTTAAACATACTTATATTAGATTTTTGCTCTGTAGATGACTTTTATCTCCATTTCTTCACAGATGATTTCTTGAATTTGTGGATTTCCAAATTGTTTTTCATGGCATTTGTGTTAGTGACCTTATCATCACCGAGACCAAAGTACCTGATCAACAGCTTAAAGAAGGGAAAGTTTATTTTGCCTTACAGTTTCAGAGATCTTAGTCCATAAACAGCCGACTCCATTGTTTTACACTCTTGAGGCAGAACATCATGTCCAAAGGGCATGGCAGAGGAAAACCACTAACCTATGGCAGCAAGGAAGAAGACAGAGAGAGACTCACCCCACAGGGAAGATGTACCCTTCTTTCTAGGGTATAACCACAGTGTCACACCTCTTAATAGTGCCCCACCTACCTAGAGTTACCATGCAGTTCATTCAAAATAGGATGGACTAATTAGGCTATAGCTCTCACAGTCCAATCATTTCACCTATGGACATTACAGCATTAACACAAGCTTTTGGTGGACACCACATATCCAGCCTATAACATTACTCCCCTGGACTCCAAAAGCTTATGACCATCTCACAATGCAAAATATATTTAGTTTATCTCCAAGAAGTCCGTAGTCTTTACAGTTCCAGCATTGCCCAAAAGTCCAAGTCCAGAGTCTCATCTGAGACTCAAGGTAAACTCTTGGTTATGAGCCCCTGTAAAAATCAAAAGAAAGTTACATATATTGAATATACAGTGACACAGTAAATATTCTCATTCCAAAAGGCATAGAAAGGAATATGGACAAACCAGAATGCAAACCCAACCAGGCAAATATCCCAGAACTCCTGGCATAGCATGTAGGACCATGACAATGTAATGTGCTCTTCAAAGGCAGTCTTGCCTCTTTGACCTTTGGGTTTTTTAGTGACCATAGTCTCTCTTTTAGCCTGGATGTCACCTCAACTGCAGCTTTTCTCTGCAGATAAAAGCATCTCTTAATTCTCGGGGTCTCTATAATGGTTTTGGCTTCACCTTCAGACTTTCACATTATCATCCCCAGGGGCAGTCCATGAGATACCGACCCTACTACACTTTGCCTGGCTCCCAGGTGGTTGAGCACAGTGCAGCAACTTCCTAGCGCCCCCCCCCCCCCCCCAAAGCAGAGCATTCCTGTGATTCTTCTCAAAGGATTAGTCCCTTTTATATCCTCAAGCTTCCAGTGGATGTGGTCTTGCAAATTTCTGAGGTGCCCCTCAAGCCATTTTTTCTTTTGTTTTTGTGCAAAGTAATTAGCATCTCAGTGGTTGTAATTTCTATAAGCATCACACCTTCTTTGGCCCCAGTTTTACATGCACTTTTCTAGCTGAACTGCAAGTTTAAAAAATCATTTAACTGCTTTCTGCTTCCAATTTTCACAGTAAACTGGGCTAAAAGTTGTCAGCAATATCCATGTCGTGGCCTGAATGTGGTGCTGCCTTGAAATTTTCTGTGGACATTACAGTATTAATTAGGCTGACACCTTTAAATTCAGTCTTACTCAAAGTGTCAGGACATGGCAAGATGTAGACAAGTTCTTTGCCAGATTATAATATGAATGATTTCTAGTCTAGTTCCCAAAAGAGTCCTCACTTTTCTTTGAAATCTCATGGACATAGTCTACATTCCTGTGGGCATTCTGGTGGTGTTAGCTCCTATCAGAATTAGTCATTAAGCTCTGCTTACAAATTCTAAGGCTTCTCTCTTCAGCCCACATCTCTAAACTTTTCCAAATTCCTTCTGTAAACCAGCTCCAAAGGCTTCTAAATCACATTTTCTGGGGAGTCAACAGCAAAAGCCCCACTTCTTGATATCAATATCTGTGTGTGTTAGCTTTTTACTGTCTACTTAAATATCTGACAGGAATAACATAAAGAAGGGAGTTTATATTGAATTTCAGTTTCAGAGGTCTCAGATGGCTGATTCCATTGAGCTGGGCCTAACAGGAGGCAGAACATCATGGCCAAAGAGGATGGCAGAGAAAGTCTGCTCACTCATGACAAGCAGGAAGGGGGCAGGGGTAAGGAGCCACAAAGAAGATGAACTCTTCAAGGATCACCTCCTCTAGCAACATCCTACCAGCCTATAGTTACTGACTAGTCCATTCAAATTAGGATGGACTAATTAGGCTATGGCTCTCACCATTCATTCATTTCCCTTCTGAACATTTCTGCATTATCACGGGAGCTTTCGGGGGACACCTCATATCCAAACCTTAATAACGTTGGACCTATGAATATATTTTGTAATTCACATTTAATTATTCAACTTAATGAGGGTTTTCCCTCATGTGATCCCCTCCCCATAAAGCAGCTTCATGATTCTTTCACCTTGGTATTTCACAATCACCACTTTCAAACCAGGCCTTATATTTATGGATTGCCTAGTGATTTCTTTCTATATATACACAAATACATTTCCTCTTTTGTGCCCATTATCCTCTAGGTCTGAGTCTTACAGAGGTACTTCTTCTACATCTCTTCTGGGCAAGCTAGATCTATCTATCTCCAGTGCTGTCAGGTGGATCCTTTTCTTTAATCTCCTCCAAAGTAGACAGTATGATCCCTTTTCCCAGCCTTCTGCTGGATGCTTGAGTTCAGCATCTCACCTTTTGGTGCTGAGAATTTATCCCCAAATTCCATGTCTAGACTGGCCCTACTTTAAGCTTTGGTTTTCCTTTCCATGTTTCTTCTTTTGATTAAAGATCTTAGAGCTAATTACTATTTTTCTTTTTTTTTGGAGTGATAAAAGGTTTGTACTATGCTCAGTTCTTCATCTTGACCCTGTGAGTGGAAAAATAACTTTTAAATCCAATTACAAATGGTTTTTATTTATATAATGAGAGTAGTAGGGAATAGACTTAGACATGTTTAACCTAACCACAAAGTGCTTTTATTTATATGGTTAGTAAGTGGTATATAGTCTTTAACATGGAATGAAAAATCTTGAAGTTTTAAAAAGGAAACTGGATTATGTCTCTCATACAGACTGTGTTCAGCCATTCTATGACTGCCCTATGTGTGGGCTCATTTGTACAAATTACGATATTCTCCAGGAACACGTTGACCTGCATTTAGAAGAAAGCAGCATTCGACAAGGTATGTTTATGTGCTAACGATAAAAATGTCTTGATTTAACTTCTGCCTCCTGGGACACATCTAATTTTCATATTAGTTATATGGGGTGAGGGGAAATCATAAATATTTAAAAAGAAATTTGTTCCTTTAAATAATTTTTATTTATCTGTAACTTTTTCCTTAGAAATATGTCATAAAATGTTGTAAAGGATGAATGAACCATGGTGACCAACATCCAAACTAGGGTTGTGCATCCTGGATTTTGCTCAGGGCCAACAATATTTAGAAGGTGCAGACATTTGAGAGAATGAATATTAAACTTTGTTATTTAGAAAGTGTTTCATTTACAAGCATTCTTTTATCAGCTAGAAGTAATAAACTTAGCATTTGGCCACCAGAAATTGTCAACTAGGAAGCTGCCACGTGGCACATAATAATTTTCAACATGTTTATGAACTGCGTAACCTGAAAGTCATTTTCAGTACATTTACAGCTGCTCACCCCAGCTTCTAAAATTATTTAGTGGTTAATAATGACTCTATAAAAGTTTTCTTCTGTTCTCTGTCACTTTTAATTGTGACATTAAGTAATTATTATGGTGCCTTAGACATGAAGGTATCTTATATAAGTTTCTCAAACCTGCTGAAGGAAAACATAAAGTAGACCCTAAAAGAAATCAATTGTATTCTACTCTATTTCTGTTTCTAAAGGATTATAGATAATTCCCAGTAATGGGAAGATTTCTTAGTAACCAGTATCATGAGCCTAGTACCAGAATCAATGATTTCCATGCACAGCAAAATCTGTTCAGTCAGCCCAGCCCCTAGGTGCAAGTTAGTTGAGTATAGATAGAATAGTCTTCTATTCTGATGGTTCTGTACCACTTATTTCAGTTGGTGATCTATATTCCCTTAGACAAGATTGTAAGGGAATACTGGGAAAAAAATACCCTTTTGAAGTTGACTATCTGGTAATTCTTACTGTGTTTATCATAGGCTTTCACGTATATTATGTAAGCCTGTTGTGGGTAATAAAATAAAGATATGATTCAAGCAAATCACTGTATCTTTTGTTAAGGTAGACTAAAAATTAATCACCAAGTGCATATTCCAAGAATGGAAAGAGGAACCAAATAGGAAGATATAGCAGTGGCTGAGAGGTTTGAAAAGAAAGATTTTTTCAGCTACATAATTAAACCATCAAGTTGGGAGATGGTAACTTATCTGGATTGAGGAATGCACAGACAAGTGGTGAAGCATTTCTTCTGGTGTGTCTGTGAGAATATTTCCAGAGGAGATCGGCATGTGTCAATGAATTGAGTGGGGAACACCTGCCTTCTAAGTGGGCAAGCACCATCTAATTGACCACGGGCCTGGATGGACCAGGAAAGCTGAAGAAGGGGAATTTTCTGCCTTTTTCTTCTTCATTGGAGCCAGTTGTCCATCTGCTGCCCTTGTTCATCAAATTTCAGATTTGCACCAGTGGCCTTTCTAGAGTTCTTGAGCCTTTGGCCTTTGAACTTGACCTTGCACCCTTAGTCTCCCAGGTTTGATGGTGGGTTACTTGGCTTTCCGTCACTGTGACAAAATACCTAATAAAGTCAACTTAAAGGAGGAAAGATTTATTTTGGCTCATAGTGTTAGATGTTCCAGTTTATGGTCACTTGGCTTTATTGTTCAGATGAGGCAGAACATCATAGTGGGGAGCACAAGGTAAAGGAGAACTGCTCACCTCCTGGCTGCCAGGAAGTGGAAAGAAAGAAAGCATGAAAGGAAGGGCCAGAGACAAAAACATACCCTTCAAAGACCCACCTCCATTGACCTCCTTCCTGTTCCAACTGGGACATGCTCTACCTCCAAATATCACAACTAATATTACCAAGTCTTTAGCCCATGGCCTTTGGGGAACATTTCAGATCTGAACCATAACAGGTGGCCTCTTGGCTTCTTAGACTGAGCCACACTACTGGATTTTCTAGTTTTCCAGATTACAGACTATTGTGGGACTTTTCAGTTTCTGTGATCATGTGATTAATCCTGTAATCAATCCCTTCATGTACACATACACATACATATTCTCATTCTGTCTGTCTCCCTTTCCCTCCCTCCCCTCTCGGTTACATTTCTCTCAAGAACCCTGACTAAAAACATGGGTCAAGGTGACAAGGTACTGGCTCCAAGGCATCTGAAGGAAACTAGGAGAGAGGAAGGCAGGGCAAGATGTTGAAAAGTTATATCATTTGTTTGAGGCCAAACTGTAAGTTATTATTTAGCACTTATACTTTGAAAATGTAAATTTTTATGCTCTTTATTACTGCCTCTCTCCCTATCCTTACTATTTCTTTGAAAAAGCAATCTGCCTTGTTTATGTTAAGGAGCATTAATGAAGAGTATTACTTCTTTAAATTTTGGCTTCCTCAGTAGATAATAACCTACTTCATAAGGTTGTCATAAAGATAATGAAAAACATCTGTTATAGCTTAAACAGTCAATGAATATTAGGTATTGATGAAATAGAGGTTATTTCCTTAGCAAAAGCAGTTCTGAGTTCTGCCAGAATTGTACTCCATGGTTCAATATCATAGTCATGAATAAATGACAAACAATATCAGTAACTTTTAAAAAAATACTTAATTGATAGTAAGCTTTGATTTGGGCAGTTTTATTATTTATTTTATTTTATTTTTTTTGGGGGGGTACTGGAGATTGAACTCAAGGGCAGTTGACCACTGAGCCACATCCTCAGCCCTATGTTGTATTTTAATATAATGAGACCCTGTCTCACTGAGTTGCTTAGTTCCTCACTTTTGCTGAGGCTAGCTTTGAACTCGTACTCCTCCTGCCATAACCTTCCGAGCTGCCAGTTATTTTATTCTTAACATTATTTTACTAAATATCTAATAGGCATGGATAGAGTCCAGTGTTCTGGTGATCTAGAATTGGCTCACCAACTTCAACAAGAAGAAGACAGTAAGAGGAGATCTGAAGAATCAAGACAAGAAATGGAAGAATTTCAGAAACTGCAGGTACAAAGATTAATAACAATTAAAATATTTTGATTTGGTAGAGTTCTTATTTCTAAAATATGCTTTCAACACTTTATTCTATTATTTTTGCCCTTATTAAAAACATTTTTTGGGCTGGGATTGTGGCTCAGTGGTAGAGCGCTTGCCCAGCATGTGGGAGGCACTGGGTTCAATTCTCAGCACCACAATTTTCTTTCCAGATTAAAAAAAAAAAAATGGAAATAGAGTGATTGAGTAATTTGCCCAGAGTTAGACAGTTATTAGGCGGTAAAGTCTTGATTCAAACCTGTGTAGGTCAATAGAGAAATTATGAGACTTGAGACTTAGAATTTAAATACTTGTATAAATACTTAGACATGAATGGTAACTTAGAAAAAATGCCTCTTGAGTTCTAGATTTTTTTATAGGTTGCAATTTTAGGCATTTAGAAAGAACCATTTGTAATACAAAGTGCAGTTTAATGATATTGAAACTGTGTTTACCTTAGGTGAATTTAATATTTGTTGAGCTAGACTGTTACATTTTTAATGGATTTATATTTTTCATAGTTTTTTTTTTAATTTCTAATTTGTGAACCATAGTGTTATTTGGACTAATAATGCTCACAGAGTTTTTTTTCCTATGTATTATAGAATAATGTATAAATAATAAGTGTTTATAATCAAATAGTTTTGAAAGTATTCAATTAAACCAGCTTGACTACACCTCTTAAAGCCTTTAATATACCAGTATGCATTATGAATATCATTTTCCCAGATTTGTTGACCTCTTGTCTTTTTTCTGCAATATCTCACGCATGGCTATTTTTCCATGAAATGTGCTTTGGAAAAATCTAATTTCAGATTTTGTTTCTACTAGTGATTGATTTATTCAAAAAACATTTTTCCACCAGGATTTGGAGGAGGAAAGAAAATGGCTTTTCCTAAGTCTTTTGGGGATAATATAAAATGCAAAATGCCTTTTCAACATTATCAGTACAAAAAACTTCCAGTATTTATGGAGGTTTCTTATATAACTACTATGTAACATTATTGGGAGAATGAGTTATTGATTAAGTAGATCTTTGCGGATCAGCTTGGCAGCAAATTAAAAGAACTGACAAATTTCCTTGAAAACGTCAGTAGTGTGTTCAGAACTCTTCTGCCTTTTACAGTATCTTTAGAAGGACAGGACCCTCTGTTTTCCCTACTATAAGGAAACAAAGTGTTTGTTTATGGAGAATGGCCATAGTAGTCGTTTAATAATTAAGTTGAAAATTTCATGTGTGTGTGCACACGCACAGTTGTGCTCTATAGTTCTCATAAAAATCTTTAAGTTGATTTATGTAAAAAACCTGTAAACCAGAATGTTTTGATATACATTTCCAAATAAATAAAACTGGCAAGTTTCCATCTCATTAATGTACAGGAACATAAAAATTATGCCCTTTGTTTTTATGTTCAATAGCGACAATACGGTTTAGATAATTCTGGAGGATACAAACAACAGCAATTACGAAACATGGAGATTGAAGTAAATAAGGGTAGGATGCTTCCATCTGAATTTCACAGAAGAAGAGCTGAAATGATGGAATCGCTAGCTCTTGGTACTGATGATGGAAAAACAAAAACTTCTGGTGGGTACTTTTACATCAAAATCATAGTTTTAATATTGCATATACCACTGAGGTAATAAAATCATTTAATTTTGTTTGATTTTCACAATCCAAGGTTTATATGGTATGAGGTGAGAGTAAGTTCAAATAGTGTGCTAATCATCTAGTAGACTAATGCTAATAGAAACCTAGTAGGAGCCATATACAGAGTTAAATATTTCAGAGCCACGTTAAAAAAAAGTAAAAAGACAGGTAAAATTATAGAAGCCCAGGTTCCTAGACCTGCAGTGGGGTTATGGCCTGATAAACCAATTGTAAGTTGAAAATATCTTATGTTGAAAATGCATTTTATACACCTAAGTTGCCGAACATCATAGCTTAGCAATACAGTACCCTGTAGGATGTCAGTAGTTTATCTTTGTAATGTCATGACTGACTATGAACTGTAGCTTACAGCTGTTACCCAGCATCTGGAGAGAATATCTTACTCCACATCCACAGCTCAGGGAAAGACCAAAATTTAAAGTACACTATGTAAAATTCAAAGTGTACTATGGTAGTCAAAAAGTTGTGTTGCACCATCATAATTCTATCATTTTAAGAGTTTAAACCCAGTGTATCAAAAATATTATTGTAACATGCAATCATATTAAGAACTATTAATGAGATATTTAACATTCTTTTTACATTCTTTTGAATCCAGTATGTGTTTTTTATTTTATAGCACACCTGTATTAGAAGAGCCACATTTCAAATGCTTAGTAGTCACATGTAGCTAATAGCTAGTCTATGTTCAGTACATTTTTTTGGATTCTAAAAGTTTTTTATACATTACGTCACTTACCTTGAAACAAACATCCTCTTGTGTATTGTTACATATTCTGCATGAGATTATTTAGCTTAGGTTAAATAATTTTCTGAAGGCAAGGTTATATAGTTGTTATTGGCCCAGCCAGTATTCATAATCAGGTCAGCCTTATTCCAAAGCATGTCCTTCTCCTGATAAGTGGTTATTTAAATTGCTTTTTTGTATATATGTTAGGGTAGTAAAAAAATTTATATAAAAATATATTTATATGAACTATTCCCCTCAGTGTTTTTTTTTTTTTTTTAATCTGAATGTTTTGTCACATTCTTTAACATTTTTAAAGCTGTTAACTCTTTCATTGTATTTTAAATCCTGGTGTACCCCCTCACTGATTTTAATTCCTACTCCCAAAAAAAGGAATCATTATCATTAAATATATACATCCCCATAAATATTACATACTATTTTTACATGCATTTAATCTTCATAATAATGGGATATAAAATGTATGCTCCAAATTGCTTTACTCAAGTATACTGATTCTTATAGCTGTACTCCATTAATTTTAGCTGCAGTATAATATTCCTTATATAAATTCTATACCACTTAAACCTTTGATCTACCTTCTTAAAGACAAAAGTCCATCTTCTTTTAGGATATCCATCATTCAAATAAAAAGCATTTGGCTATTGTTGTTTTGGTGCCCCATGTTATAAGAAAGTATGGGGAAAAAAACAAGAAAGTATGCGCTATGTAAGTAAGATATCCATGCCTATAAACTTTATAGAGTCCTTATAGTATGTAGAATATATGCACAGAACTGTAGTATTCTGTGACAAAATGTGACTAGTACCTAGAGGGCACAAAAAATAAATGCAGTGATTATTCAGAAAAACAAGACAGAAAAAGGATCCTTGAGAACAGTACCATTTGATCCTTGAAGGATCTGTGTGATTCTAAACACAAGGAGAATATACTGAAATAAAGGTAAATTTAAGGATTGCTTGCAGTAGGCTTCATGTACCATCAACTAATACTATTTTGTAGGTTATAGAGAGGTATTGTTTTTGATTGGGAGCAAATTGTTGAGAACCGAATGGTCTCCAACAGTATATATTATAAAATGAAGAGGCAAGGAAAGCTTTCATACAATGGTTCTACTTTTATGTGTTGAGTCCTGCAGATGTGGAGGTATGAAATATAAACAACTTTAGTTCAGTGTAACAAATAATTTTCTAGTGTCAGGAAACTTGGATTGTAGTAATAAGCAAGGTCATGAGCTAAAGTTGTAGCCGTAAGAAGATAAAGAAAGAGATGGAATGGTTCGGATTTAGCTATGTAGTTTGAGGATGGGGTTGGTATAGAGCCATATAATGGTGGAAACAAATCCTTCTGCATCTTCTGTCTTTTCTTAGGAATTATTGAAGCCCTTCATAGATATTATCAGAATGCTGCCACAGATGTGAGGCATGTGTGGCTTTCTTCGGCAGTGGATCACTTTCATTCATCTTTAGGAGACAAAGGTTGGGGTTGTGGTTACAGAAATTTCCAAATGCTACTTTCATCATTATTACAAAATGATGCCTATGATGAATGCTTGAAAGGTATGAAAATACTGAACTCTGAGCTTGTCTCTGATATAATACACATATGAAATGGAGTGAATTAAAATGTAACATACATAATTAATAGCTTTAACAAAGTAGTGCTTTAGTGGATATTACATAAGAAACTTGAAATCTGATTGGAGGGAGAGAATTATGTAGTGGATATTAGGAATAACTGTCTTAAAATCCATATTGTGGACTCCTTCACAGTATATGACATACTGCCAAGTGATATTGTTCAGTACTTTATTAACTGTCATGTACTTTATTTGCTAAAATAATTTTAGGTATGTCAGTTCCTTGCATTCCAAAAATTCAGTCTATGATTGAAGATGCATGGAAGGAAGGTTTTGATCCTCATGGGGCCTCTCAACTTAATAACAAGTTACAGGGAACAAAGGCCTGGATTGGAGCATGTGAAGTATATACACTCCTGACCTCCCTGAGGGTAAAGTATGTACCTGAAAATTTCAGTTTAATGCCATTGCTATATCTTTTAGTTTTTTGGTAGTTTGTTTTTTGTTTTGTTTTTTCCCAAAATTTTGTTTTTATCCAAGAGATATATATATAGGTAGGGAAAACCAGCACCATATTTCAGGTCTCATGCTCTCTGTATTCTCAAGTCCAATTTTTCACAGGCAATTTTTACTCCCATTGTTTTTAAATAACATGCATTTGTAGCTGTTTCTTGGTTTATCAGTTGTAGACAGTATCCATTGCTTTTTTAAAAATTGTTCTACCTGCTCACCCTCAGTCTAACATGACTTAGTCGGTTTCTATTAAAGACAGAGTTTACATTATAATTGCATAAATATTGCTGATTGCTGATTTTCTTCCCTTCCTGAAAAGATTTCTGAAATTTTTCTTAATCATTGCCTTTCCTTTTCCCTTTTACTATTTGAGTTAAATATTCCTTTTTATTAATATATTCTGAATTTCTGTTTAAATGTCTTCTTCTGTATAAAATTATACTCTGTAGGGTACTATTCACTATTTTAAATCTAAACATGAAATCAGACTGCTGACCCTAAAGCACTGTTCCTACATCTAAACAGTTTATCCAGAAGTTTATTTGAGCACCCGAAACTCAGTAATTAGTTGCAAGTTCTTAGCATTAAATTTAATGTGACAGAGGTTAGCAACCAGTACAATTTGGATATTTTGGAAATTTATTGCCTAGAGAGACAAGAACAGGCTGTCTTGTGCTGTGGTTTGAAGTGATATTCTGTTAATGCTTTGGGTTATACTTGATCTTTGTAAAATAGTTGTTGAATATTATAACCAGTATTTACTCAAGGGTGACTTTTCTTGAAGGAGGCACACCACCATTAACTGGTGCCAAGTAGGAGATAGATAAAAGGACAGATGTGGGTTCACACACAGGTTCCTATGATCTTTACGTATATTCTTGTCTGTTATTAGAATTTGAGAAAATTAAAAGTATTCTGTATATTTTTAGTGTATACAAATGGCTATTGAGGAAGTAAAATCAGAAGTCAGCTTTAAACTGATCATCAGGGTTAAAGAATTTAGAATAAAAACTGTGTCCTGATTATGTGTTGATTACTTAAAAATCAAGCATGATACTCATTTACTATTCAAGGAGATTTTATATGTCAGCAAATATTGTAACCTTTAGGTCAGACATAAATCTTGTTGTGAATAGTTATTTAAATAATTGTTTCTTCCACAAAGATAATAAATTTCCAGTTAAATAATAAAAATTTATCATCTTCTTTCTTCCTTCCTAGAAAGAATTAGCAGATATAAAAATTTTTTTGTATTTGATAATTACATCAGTGAAAGTCCATTTTGTCAATTTTTTTATTAGGTGCCGTATTATTGATTTTCACAAGTCAACTGGTCCTTCAGGTACACACCCTCATTTATTTGAATGGATCCTGAACTATTATTCTTCAGAGAGGGAAGGGAATTCCAAGGTAGTATGGACATCTAAACCTCCTATCTATCTCCAGCATCAAGGTTAGTATGACTCATAAAACAATGTTCTTTGGAAGACAATACATTGTCTATCACTTTTGGACAATTTAAGTTTCCGATAATAGGGAGGAGGGGGAATATTGTGACAATACTCTCGTTTTCAGAGCTACTGGGTCATTACAGTACAGTTTTGGGTAACGAAGGATCATATTCCTGGCATTTTAAGGGTCTTTTGAACTCATCATTTCTTGGGTTTTGTTTCTTTTCTTTCCTTCTTTTTTCTTTTTGTTATTGTTGTTGTTGTTTGGTATCATTGATAGAAACCAGGGCCTGGTGCATGCTAAGCAAGTACTCTACCACTGAGCCATATCCTCAGCTCGTCATTTTCTTTGCTTCACTCTTCTTTGATTGTTCATCACTTATGTCACTTAAGTGAAGCATTTTCTGGCCCCACCTTATTTAAAACTGCAACTCCTTTTCTCAACTACCCTCTACTGGTATTTCCTTCACTTCTTTACCTTGTTTACAGTGTCTATTATTATGTAAGGCATTTTTGTCAGTTTTGTTTGCTGTTATGTTCTTTGCTGCTGAAGTAGTGCCTGGCATAGAGATACTTGATCAAGTTTGTTAAATGGATGATTTGAATTGACAGAATAAAGAGACATAATCATTGATTAGGAATACAAACCATAGGAGATTAAGCCCTCCCCATTGATATCTAGTATATATAAATTTACTTCTGTTTCCCTTTAGGAACTATATTTTTGTTCTGGGAAAGTCAATTTCAAGCCATTTTATTTAAGATAATTTGATTAAAGAAGAGGGAAAGAAAAGGGAATCAAAAGACTAGGAAAGGGAAAGGAAAATTGGTGGAGTGGAAGCAGAATTTTTTTGTAATGAAGCCTTTAGAAAACTAAAATTGAACAAAAAACCCCTAAAGAACAAGCAAGTTGAACTAATTACTTTGTGCATTAGGAGAGGTCTCAGGTATAGACACGTTAATGACTGACCGTATTTATATTCTAAACACACACATATATGTCCATACAATATTCATATATACAGAGAACAGGAATATATATACATTAATATCTGTGTGTGTATAGCAGAAGGTGGATGTGACATATATTGGTTACTTTATATTTTAATAGGTCATAGTCGGACAATTGTTGGAATTGAAGAGAGAAAAAACAGAACATTATGTTTATTGATATTTGATCCTGGATGTCCTTCTCGAGAAATGCAGAAACTATTACAGCAAGACATAGAGGCTAGCAGTCTCAAGCAACTTCGGAAATTTGTGGGAAATTTAAAGCATAAGCAATACCAGATAGTGGCAGTAGAGGGTACTCTTTCTTCAGAGGAGAAAGTTGTAAGTATGATGCTTGAATGGGCAAAACTTTAAAATTTCTAGTTAAAATTAGTATTATCCCTTTGTATCTCCTAACATCTCATTCTGTTTCATTAAGTAGACAAAGCATTTGTTTCTATATCACTGAGTTTCTGGAATGGATATCTTTTAAACTTTGTTGTTGTTGTAGATAAAAATACAGTATCCTTATTTATTTTTATGTGGTGCTGAGGATTGAACCCAGTGCCCCACACATGCAAGGCATGTGCTCCACCAACTGCGCTATAGCCCCAGTCCCTCTTTTAAACGTAAAAGCAACTTTCAATTGCTTTATACAGCTTCATAAAAATATTTAATTTCATAATATTTAGCTTAATTTTTAATATATGAGTTATGAACATAACAATAAATATGGTAAAAATATATCTTAATCTGTAGACCTAACTCATAGTGGTTTTATAATTCTTCTTTAATAAGAATTAAAGAAGATTGCAGGATTCCTGAGGCTCTGCTTTATGCACTTGAGCTTGTTGTTGATACACAGTTCTAGAATTTAGACGTGCCACTTGCTTTTATACCTCATATTTAAGTGATGTGTGATGTGTTACAGAAAAAATTTCTAGAAATGGAAAAACCTGCATGCATTATGAACTGAAGCTAAATTATAGCACATCAAATTTAGAAAATGCGTAGGCCCCAAAATGTTAAGAAAGGTGCTCCTATTTGAGAACTTTACGTTGTTTTACTTCACTTTAAAGGCAAAGGAGACAGAGAACTATAGAAGAACATAACTCCCTTGTATTTCCTATTTTACTATATTTGTATATGCATATATATATATACATATACATATATGTGTGTGTGTGTGTGTGTATATATATATATATATATATATATATATATAATGTTTATTTTTACTGGGGGTTGAACTCATGGGGCTCAACCACCAAGCTACAACCCTAACCCTTTGTATTTTTTATTTTGAGACAAGGTCTCACTAAGTTGCCTAGAGTATCATTGAATTTGTGCTCCTTCTTCCTCAGTCTCCCAAGTAGCTGGAATTACAGACCTATACTAGTTTTCATCTACCCCTGGTAGAGGGAGATGGTTTTCTTAAAAGTTTCTTCGTTCTATAACTCCCTATTGCTCTCCTCTTTTGTTGTTCTCTTCTCCTCTCCCCATCCTGTTTTTTCCGCTGTGAGCCAGCACTTTTACTTTTAACTCATTATGCCTTAAATAATTACATTTTCTTTTTATTTCATTCTCTTTTGTCTTTATTTTGAATGTTCTTTAATTCCTTTATGGCTTGGCTTTTTTAAAAACTGTTGATTATTAATTTTATAAGTTCGAGGCTGGAATTTTCCTTTAGGAATTTTCATTACTTGAAAAAGATTCAGATTTTATTTTTATCTTAGAATAATACTTAATATATAATATAATTAGTTAATTTCTAGCTTACAATTAATACATTTTAAAATTCCCTTTCAAGGCCAGGAAACAAGCTTCTCAAGTCTTCACAGCAGAGAAGATTCCTTGAAGAATTGAGTATTTTAATGATTGTGGAATTATACTTCATTTTCCTAATTCAGATATTGAACTCCTTAATAAAATTTAAGAATCTGAATTCTCTAAGTACTCAACATATAATTTAATTTCTAAAATGCCTTTATTAAATTATACCTGTAGTACTTTCTTATTTAGTAATTATTTCAATAAAATGTCTCGTTTGCATTATGAGTTTTGTTTTTCTTATGTATGTTTCAGAAATCTACTTTGTATTATCGTTATAAGCTAATATGTATTAGGTCTTTACTTCTGTTAGGTGTTCTTAGTATTTGAATCTGTTAATTAGTCTTCAGAATAGTTCTTTGAGACAGTACTATTATTATGCCCACAAGGAAGCTGAAGCTCAGAGAGGTTAGTAGTTTGCCCAAGAAAATTATCGTGATCCAAGATATAAACACAGGTTGTCTCCAAGTCCTGTGTTTAATGTGTCCTATAGGAAAGGGACTTCCAAATTCTGGTTGAATGTCTTGTATGATTCCAAGCAAGAATGCTGCATTGGTCAACATCAGCAGAAGGGAATTATCAAGAGATTATCACAAGTTCTCAGAATCCATGGTTAACTAGAGAACTGGGCTGGAATCAGTCAATTGAAGGCTAACATGGTGAAATTTATAGCAGGAACAATCTGATGAGGAGCCACAGTACATTGTCTGATTCTAGACAGGACTGATTTGATTGACAGGAGACTATCTAACAGGACAGAGGTCCTCAGAACGAAATGAAGGTGGATGAAGAAATGGAGATTAAGCAGCAACAACAACAATGCAAATGTGTACCATACAATGAACAGAAATCTACTGAATAAAGATTTATGAATTTTAGGTATTCCAGCAAAGACTGAAATTTGTGCTCTAACAATGAAATAGTATTGACTAATTAATTAGAGAATTCTGGAGCCACCCTTTCTAATGTTCTGTCCTGCAGACTAGTAACCAGTTTTCTATTTTACATCCTCTTGCAATTGTCCTGGTTCATGCCACCATTTTTTCTAACCAAGGTAATCTGATAACCTCCTAGTTTCCCTGTATGCATTTTTTATTATTTGTTTTCCAAACTGAAGCTAAAGTGTTCTAAAATACAAATGAGTTATATGACTTTCTAGTTTAATCCTCCCCATTGTTCATGGGTTAAAAATCCATCCTTTCTACCCTCTGGCCTCAGCTTACCTCTCCAGGTTCCTCTTTTATCCCTTCAAGGCAAGTTCACTCAGACTCAAGACTATTGCCAAAATCCAGCTCTTTCTGCCTAGAACCCTTTGCCCACACTGCTCTACCTGGTGGCTCTTAAAGGTACTTCTTAATCTGCTCAAATCTAGAGTAAGTGCACTTTCTAGGTACTCGAAGCAGTGTAACTCAGTGTAGATGAGTGATCCACAAACTTCCAGTCTATGACAAGTTAAAATGTTTAATCCTTAGAAATTAAGGACTGCTGTGATTTTTTAAAATTTTACAAACATCAGCATTAATAGTGGAATTAAGTTTTTAATTGGTCCTTTACCACAATTTGAGAGACACTATTCTATGGGACCCTGTAATGGTCACATTATACTACTTGCTAAATTACAGTCTATTCTAACTTTATATTTACCTTTTCATATTTCCGCTTCAGTGAAAGCCATGATTTCAGGAGTAGCACCTAGTTCTTATTCATAATTCAGGGTGACTTATACAGCTGGACTTAAAAAATCCCCCCTTTTTAATTGATTCATAATATTTTAGAAATATATGGGTAGAGAATGTAAGTTTGAAATGTCTGGATCTGCCAGATTACCATATTTTCAAATCATTTTTTCCAAATTTAAATCAATTTCTATAGGATGAACAAGGACTACAATTGAGGAAATTGAGAAGTTCAAAAGGGACTTGCTGAGCTTGGTAGGTAGCACATACCTATATTCCTAGAGACTTGGGAGACTGATGCAGGAGGATCACAAGTTTGAGGTTGGCTTTGACAACTTAGACTCCATTTCAAAAGAAAAAAAAAGGCTTGGGTTTGGTAATGTAGCTCAGTGGTGAAGTGTCTGAGTTCAATCACCAGTAGCAAAAAACGGGCGTGGGGTGGAGAGGGGCAATTGCATGAGCACTCCAGTAGTCTTTTTTGTTTGTTCTTTTCGGTTATATATTGTATGACAGTATTATACAGTATTTTGACATATTTATATGAACATGAAGCATATCTTATTCTAATTAGGATCCCAGTCTTGTGGATATATGCATTATTGAGATTGACTGTGGTGTATTCATATATGTACGTAGGAAAGTTATGTCAAATTTATTTCACTGTCTTTCCTATTCCTACCAGTCCTTCCCTTCATTCTCCTTTATCTAATCCACTGAACTTTTATTCTCCACCCCCTTTGTTGTGTGTTAGCATTCACATATCAGAGAGAATATTTGATCTTTGGATTTGGGGGATTGGCTCATTAATTTCCAGAATATACAAAGAACTCAAAATGTTCCAATAGTCTTTGAGCAAGTCATGAAATTATGAACATTCCCCCTACAAAAAGAAAATGAACATAAATGGTATTTGCACTCAATATCACAGGCTTGACCACCAGCAATTACAAATGTTTAAGAATACATGCCCTGAGTCAGTTTTTACAAAGGTTAGAAATACATGCTCAAATTTACTGATTACTAGTGCTTTTGTTCTCCTTACTCCTTGACACTCAAAAGTATAGAAATTTCCAAGGAACCTGGTGGATTAGACTTTCAATGTTTATCGTATTAGAAATTAAATCAGACCTTTTAAAAACAAGAATACATAAGCATATATTCTATTAGCCAGGGTCGTCAGAAGAGTAATATGATCACATTATTTAGCTTCTGGAAGATCCATTGAGTATCTTTTTATATACCCATTAATAGTTCTACACATGAAATGTCAAGTTTCCTATTTCTAAAGAATAACATGCACACGGATAATGGCCAATTTATATATATGTTTGTATATATGTGCATACATGTATATAATCAGTCTCACATAAGGGGTTTTTGTCTATATTCATGAAACATAGGTGTCAGCTAATTTTATTCTTACTAGTCTTCATCTTCATCTTCCTCAGTTTCTTCATCTTCCTCAGTTTCTTCATTTTCCTCAGCTGCAAATACAGTTGCTTCTTGTGCAGCCCTGAAAGCCTTCTCCTCTTCCACACCAGGGTCATCCATTTCTGTAATTTCCGGTCCACTAGGGTATTCTTGATAGACTGGTGGTGGAACTGGGGGTGTGTAATTGTCCACACTATACTTATGACCCCACCCTATGTAGAAATTCTCAAACTTTCTGTAAGTAAAAATATATATAAATAAGTCTGTATATTCTGTTCAGTAAGAAAATGACCATTCTATAGCAATGAAGTGCTATTATTGTATCGTGGTCCCATAATTTTAAAAAACAATACATTTTAAATGCTAGAAGTAAAATATCCTTCAGTAATTCTACTACAAGGAATTGTTTTGATCCAACTGCTTAAGCTGGTTAAGGAAACCCTGGGGCCAGACCCTGTCAAAATGTACACTATACCTAGACCCCAAGTAAAGGCCTTATTTAATTATTCAGAAAAACACTTAATACCCTGCATAAAGTTAAAGAAGTTCAAAACATTGCTAACCCAGCAAACTCATGGCTTGTGCAAGGAGTCAGACTTGTCATTAAAAACTCATGTGTCACGTTTTTAGGTTTCACCATAGGCAATTGCAAAAGCTTCACCTGGTTGCCCTCACTGGACAACTGCCCTTCCCATAGCAGACAGGGACTCAACCAATGTGTTGCCTTGTCTAAGGGAGTTGTGGCCAAGGACTCTGACCCTTCTGGCTAGTCTTACTCTTCACATGTTCACATTCCTAGCCCAGGTAGCTTGTTTCTAGGATTCGAGCTGAGTCCTGAAGGCATCCTTTTCCATCCCCTCCTATTTCCGCCCCCCCCCCCCCCCCCCGCCCCATCTTCCATCCATATTGCAGAAGCCTTTTCTTCAGAGACTCCCTTGTCAATGAGATGATGCCAAAACCCCACATCTATGGCACCTTCCTATCTGACTCTCCACTGGCGGCCATCACATGGGAGAAAATGGAACAGGGAAAAGACAAAAATGACTCTTACTCATGCTAGCACAGTAATGATGAAAGGCTTAGTCAGCTCTGATGTTGGCTTGCTGCCACAAGAGCTACTCTGACACCTGGCAGCTCAGTGCTCTCCTGCTCTGCTGAGCTTTAAACACTAGGTTATTAGGAAAGAAGTGGAAGTGTGAGACAAATGGAGGTGTATGTGTTGGTGAGGGATTAAAGGATTTTTAGTATCCTCTATATCTTAATTTCCTTGAAAGTGACAGCCTACATAAAACATATTTAAAATTATCTTTTACTGAGATGTTCAACAAAAATGATCTGAGTCTTAAACTAATTTAAACACTGCTTACAATTATCTTCATTAATCTAAGTGAATGTATGAGTAAATTACCCCAGTAATCATAGATGAAAAACCATATTTTAATTCAATTAATTAGATAACTAAGATAAAAGGGCAAAAGCCTGAATTGTTCTAATATCTTTTACTGTTTTAATAGAGATGCTATTTGAATAAATCTTAGGCCACATGTACCTGATACGTCAAAGATGAGTTAAAGCAATAGTAGATTAATATGCTAGTGAGAACATAATTTCCAGAGTTAAATAGTCACAACAATGAGTTTGTAAAGTGGTCAGATACTTACTTGCCATTGGAAAAGGCATATGCTCCAGGCCAGAGGTTGGATCGGAGGACTGCGATAGCATACTGTGGGATGAGATTTGAGGACAGCCGTGTTGTCCAAGCAGGCATATTCTGAATCTCTGGAACCCAAGGAGAGATTTGAAAACTTAACTCCTAAACAGACAAGAAGATACTATATAACCAAAGTCATTTTTATAAATCTTATACACATAGATACAGGCATACTTGATAGAGAAGGAAAAGTTAAGACAGCAGCTTAACAAAATCAGGAGAGAATTTATGAATGTTTTGGAATAATAAAATTTCAAATAAATGTACATATATGCACACATTCATTTTTGAAACACAGGCTTTATTAACAGAGAAGGGATTTCGGTGGTAGAGGGAGTACTATTCATAACCAAATGAAAGGTCAAATTGTTACTGTGGAAGAGACTAAAGACTGCAAGCACAAGCAAAGCAGATGAGAAAAACAAGAACATGGGACAAGAGTGATTGTAAAGACAGCAGCACCAGTGTTCAAGTTTGCAGAAAGCAAGACAAGAATGAAGCATAAGACCCTGTGAACATTTCTAGCAAGAGCTGCGGCCCACTGTGTTTCCTCCCTACATCATTCTTTCAGCTTCTGTCAGAGCACATTGGCATGGACAACGCATTCTTCTCTCCTGCCATTCTGAAACACATGAAGGGGAAGGAGAGGAAACTGTGGCTCCCGTTCACTTTTAGAGATTTGAACTCTTATATATTTGCCACAGAATGCACATGTTATGCAGTTTATGTGACTCTGGGTTAACAGTCATCTAAATTACCTAAATCTTCAGAGATTGGTGTCAAAAGAGGGGGCCCCACTTCCTGTTCTATGTAGTCAGGATCTTCGCCTTTTTCTTCTTTTTCCTCATCTTCTTCCTCTTCTTCCTCATCTTTTTGCACAGGATTGAACCAATTACAGCGACCCTGGAAATGAATTTTGCATTATTTAATAGTCTCATGAGGACCTTAACATTTCAGAATATTTTTTCCTATTAAAGCAATTATCAGAATGAGTTTTCATTGTGTGGGACATCAGTCGATTATCCATTCATTCATTCTATAGTTATTTATCAAAGGCTATTTTCATTTAGGTCATTTCAAGAATAAAATGTATTATTTATTCCAGTAATTTGTCCACTTCTTGAAGTTGCAGAACTTGAAGGTTTATGTATGTTTTAAAACTATCAGTTAAAAGGTAATAACGTTTTTGTTGGTTTGTAATATGTGATTTATATAAATGAAGTAAAGCTAGTATGGTATGATTATTAAACAACAAAATTTTAAGTGAGGTAATAAGGTAGGTAGGCAGTTATAATTTCTCAATTTATCTAGAGCTCTCTAAGTGTATCTCTTATCTAGTTAAAAGTATAATGAAGATTTTTATACCCACAAACAAGGAAGTATAGCAGAGTAATTAAGAAGGGGGACTCTGGGTCTATTCTGCACAGCTTCACATCTATCTGACTGTAATGTATTAGCTATATTACTTTGTCATGTTTCCTAAACCCTCTGCTTCAATTTCCTCATCTATAAAATAAAGATAATAATATTCAATCTTTCACAGAGTTTTTATGAAGATTAAATTATATATGTATATGAGGTTATATATAGCCCCTTAATTATATATATTGCTTTTGAGGGGGTATTGGGGATTGAATACAGGGTCACTCAACCACTGAGCCACATCCCCAGCCCTATTTTGTATTTTATTTAGAGACAGGGTCTCACTAAGTTGCTTAGCCCCTTGCTGTTGCTTAGGCTGGCTTTGAACTCATGATCCTCCTGCCTCAGCCTCCCCAGCTTCTGGGATGCTGGGATCACAGGTGTGTTCCACCGCACTTGACAGATATATTTCTCTTAGTAGCACCTGGCACAATAGGTTCTATGTAATAGTGTCCTATATCACTGTTTGCTTCCCCCCCACCATTTTTGTTATAATCCTATAGTGTTCTTGGGATAAAGATTCAAGTTTTTTGGAGATAGAGTAAAAGAACTGTTTTTAAAATGAATGCACATAGCTATATTGAATTTGTACATCACCTGGCAAATACCCCTACCTGTGGAAGAATATGCTGTACATGATGAACCCAATTGGAGAGAGATTCCACTAGATCCATCACTTGAATGCCTTCAAAATCAGGGTTTTCCTCAAAGCTATCTCTCCCACCCTCCACTTCTTCCTCCTCCTCTCCTTCCTCTTCACCAAACTGGAAGAATCCTAGAGGGCTGACGTGAGTTCCTGCTGAAATTCTGGCAATTTGTGCTCGCAAGTAATTGCTCTCATTTCCTGGGAAAGGTGGGTAGCTTAGGATGGGAGCATCTAATCTCCCAGTGAAAAATTTCTTGATTTTTCTTGCAATCACAATTTGTGCAGGTACAACTGATGGTAACTTCACCCAAGGTCTTCCTGGTTCATTGCATACAAAATAGACATATTTGTTGGCGCCTGTTCTATTTTCTTCTTTGGGTATAGTTGGTGGGGGCTTGTAAAAGGCCTTTGGTAATTCATCTTCCTCCTCTTCATCAGCTTCAATTGCTCCATTGTCCCTTTCTTCAGCTATGTCTTCCTCCTCCACCTCCTCTTCATCTTCCCCCTCACGAAATTCCACTTCAGCTACAATATAATTTCTTTCTATACCCAGGATCTTACCCCAGAAACGGCATCTTTGGATTGGGTGGGTTTCAGTAAGTTGTTTGAGGGCAAGAAAAATGCGGTAAGTCTCATCAGTGCCCAGACCAACTCCGGCTTGTTCAAAATAAAAAGCTGACTCCATTACATTTGGAAGAGAGCTTTCTGTCTGGGAAACAAATGCTGTGGTTAAAATTTTATCCATAAGGGTATGTTCACTTCTCTGTCCTCCTTATACATCTTGATATTAGTGCTACTTTATGTGTCCACCACTTCTTCAACATTTCTTCAAATACTTAGCTCAAACTATGATAATTCTGAATTTTAATTCTTTTCTCCTTACTTGTAAGTGTAACCTCTTACATTCATTGTGTCTTATACTCACTAATATATTACAGTGGTCCTGTTTTGTGTGTGCGTTTAGGCAGAAAAAATTAATAACTACTGTCAATGATAAAAATTCAACACCCTTGTTTTGTAAAAAATATTTAAGCAACTCTTACTACCCTAAAATAAGATATATATAACTTATGTGCCCATGTGTTTAGAAAGAACATAGTTATATATATATATATATATATATACACACACACACACACACACACATATATGCTTATATTGCCATAAAAATACTTGTTAAATACATGGTTTTACATGTGTGTGTGTGTTAAATAAAAATCAATACATTAACCTATTTAGGGTAACAATCAGGATAAATAAAAAGAAAACATCATAAGTGCTCAGACATTGCCTATACTTAAAGACATAATATAGTAAGATGCTTGCCCCTACTTATGACACATACTTTTGGACTTAAATAATGAAGATAACATAAATAAATAATTCTATTATAGAAATACAGAAAAATGAACAAGCAGAATCTCACATATACTATAGTAAAACATTTATGAAAATTTAGGAAAGTTAGAAAGAGCATTTTCTGAGATCAATATAACTTGTAAGACAAAATGTTGACTCATAAGATAGAGAAATCGAGAGCACTTGCTGTTCTTACAAATGATCTACTTTTGTTTGTATTATTACTCTATGTCAAAATATAATTTCTTCTTAGCCTATTGCCATGGTTCCCATTTTCTTAATGGATCCCTACATGTTATTATTCTCAAAATCTCCTTTTAGTCATTTTGTCACTCATTGCCTTTTGCTTGCAGGAGTTCGCCCATCTAACTCAAGTGATATGTGGCTGTTTGAAATGTGCATAATGTTTTAGTCAGCTTCTCATTGATGTGATCAAAATACTGGACAAGAACAGATTAGAGGAGGAAAAGTTTATTTGGGCTTATGGTTTTATAGGGAGTTTATGTATGGTTGACTCCAAAGCTCTGGGCTCCAGGTGAAGCTGAAAGGTGTGACAGGAAAGCTGCTCAGGACATGACAGCCAGGAAACAGAGAACTCCTCTTGCCAGGGACAAAACATAACCCCAAAGACACGGTCCCAGTGATCTACTCACACTCAACCTGCATACAGTTACCACCCCGTACAGTAGTTCTTTCAAATTATTAATACATCAAGCAGATTAATCCACTGATTAGGCTATAGCTATATAATCTAATCATATAACCCCTGAACATTTCTGCATTGTCTCATACATGAGCTTTTGCGAGACACAGCATATCCAAACCATAACAAATACTCTTTCCTGACTTTACTATTGTCCCTTTTTCCCTCAGAATTTTATTTCTTTTGGTCTTCACTTTGGTAATCTTCTACTTATCCTTCATGTTACAAATGAAATATCACCTGTGCTACAAAGTCTTGCCTAATTTCCAACACCAGAGTTAATTGTTCCATTCTGTCTGACCCTGTAGCTTGCTGTCAAAACAATATAATAATAACTGCTTTAATACATTTCTAGTATATGCCAAACTTTATACCTATTTTATACCTTTTGACTACCTCTACTGCTGAGTGATTATCCCCGACACTTAGAAGTTTAGTTACTTGCTCGAAGTCACACAACTACGAAGTGAATATATAGCATTGCTACACAGATGGAACTCCAAAGCCCAAGTTTTTCCATCATATTAAACTATCTACTGCACTCATCCAGTTTATTGTTGTCTCCTTCAGTAAACTTTAAGCAAAATCAGAAGTCTTTTTCACATGTATATCTCTGGATCTGGAAGGCAATAGACAGTCACAGAGTTTGTAAGTGAATCAGTGAATGAACAAATCAAAGTTGAGAACGAAGAAGAGGAATCATGATGTGGTCCCAAACAGGAATAAAACCATGAGCACTGTAACATTTATGTGGGACAGAGTTGCTCAGATTTCATTGCTTCAGAGACTTTCCTCCGGGAGTCTTTCCACTCTGAGATGGAGCTTTTCATCTGCACCTGATGATTTAACTCTTCTAGGTTCTAAAACTAATCCTACCTCAGGGTCTCAGGCTTATTTGTGTTTCTCCCCAACCCCTATAATGAGATTATCCATCTCATTATAATTTTAAAGGACCACTGTCATATATGTAGCCTGTTATTTTCTGAAATGTCATTACCTGGTGCATAACTCTATCTGAAATTGATTATTATTCAACAAATATTTAATAAGAAACAGCAACTTGGAGAACAAAAAATAGGAGGAAACTATTTTCTACTCTGCTTTCTAGAAACGTATCCCACAAACATTTAGCAAAATGTGAGGATTGAAAAGCACTAAAACATGATATGAAACTGTAAAAAATGACTCAGTTAGGAAGAACATGGTGAGAAGTGGGGTTGATTGGAGAAAGCCTGAAGAGATTTAAGAAAAAATAACGTGTGAATACTATACAATAGATAATTAGTAAAAAAAAAAAAAAAAACAACTTGAAACCCTACCGCACTCAATCCAAATAAGTATCAAAAGTTATAATAGTAGAAAGGACAGTAGAATGAATAAGACATTGTTACCCTGCATATATATATATATATATATATATATATATATATATCACCAGAGAAATTATACTCCATATGTGAATGATGTATCAAAGGGCATTCTATTGTCATGTATAACTAATTAGAACAAGTTTTTAAAAAATTATAATAGTGACTCACTATTTCATCTTCTAATTCCTGATCAGCTCCTTCTAAATTTCCCTGGAGAAAAAGAGTCTTCTGCATCTCAGCTATTTCATACATTGGAAGCAGCTCATTCTCATTTTGAAGTGTATCTAATTTTTTACTAAAATGAGCCATTTTCACATCTTGGCTAATATTTTCAATGATGTCAACAGCATTTTCGGGACGCTCATCTAACATCTTGGTCAGCACATTAGAAAGATGATCATATCTGCCCAAAGAGAGAAGATTCCAAATTACACACATTCACACATACATACACACACACACACACACACATCAAGAGCATTTAAACAAGCATTTGATGCAGTCTCAGTAGCATTTTAGGAAATTTCAACAACTTGAAGTCTTCAAAGATTTTTCAGTGAAGATAATTTATACCATGAAAGAACCTATCTACAACTTTCTTAGAAAATGCTCCTGATACAATTTGGATGCTTAAGTTATTAAAGAAAAACATTGTAACAAGATACATATTCTATATCAGGTACATTTTTTACATTTCATTTCTGAAACTGAAATCTCTTGGTTACATACTTTGAAGTGATAAACATTTTTCACTGATTTACCTTAAATTATTTTCCATGCCCCCTTCCTCTGCCCTCATCAAATTCAATTTTTAAATCCTATTGATTCTACCTTGTTTTTAAAGCCAATTATCTACTTCAGTGTTTTCAGACCTACAAGAAATGCATTTCGTATTGCAATCTTCATTCAGACACAACTAAAGGACAACTGTCATCAAGTATTACGCCTTAATTCAAATTACCCCTTAATTCAAAAGTGACATATCTAAAATCTTGTTGTATCAAAAACCCTGCTTTTTATTTCATAACCAAATTAATGAAGCTATCCCTACCCTCTCAGGAATTTTTGCATTTTATTCATAACTGTTAGGGTATGATTTTCCAATAGCAGATTTGCAGTGTGGATTTATTTTTAGGAAGACAAAAACTGATCAAAACTGCTTTCATATTGGAAAGAAACTTTCCTGTTCAATGTGGAAAGGTGCATAAATTGCCTCTCTGCTGGATGTATCTCTCAAATTTTGTTTCTAATTACTTGACCCTCTGTCCAGTGAGATAAATCTAACAGAAATAACTTTCATACGTGGTTAAGTCCCAGCTGAGAAACTTTGTTTGTCCCCAGTACATCATTCCTCTTAAAAAATAATATAAAATCCCTTTTATGTTCAAGGACACACCACTTTAAGACATTCCCCAAACAATACTGAGCCCTTTCTGAGAACACTGACATGCTGCTATGAAATACTGTACATTATATATTTCCTATCTAGAAACTGCATTAGGGTTTTCCATGGCCAAGATTGGAGTTTTATTTTTTATTTATTTCCTCCCTTGCTAGAAAGAAACACAATAAATCGATAAGTGTACAGTTCCTATTAATTGATATATTATTTTTGAGCTTTCTTTGTTAATGTATTTATCTTAGACCTTAAGAATGTCACAAGAAAACATGTAGATGCTATGCACAACCAATGTGAAAGGCCATTCACAAATATTATGTTTGGAGAATATGTTATTCTGTGCCCAAATGTTGCTGTTCTTGTAAGTGAACAAGATTGTTTTGACTAGGAGTTTCTTTAAAACTTCATCAAGCTTGCCTAATTTCCATTTAGTGTGAAACTCATGGAGAACTCTCTAGACTAAAAAGATGGTTGTTATTGGGCAATAGCAGGGTTTTTAACTAGAGTGTTTGATTTGCTCCAGTAGGGGCTAGGGAAATCAGAATCCAAGTCAAATTTTTCATTTTATTTTTCAATATAATGTTTTAAGTTTTAATATAATGTCCATAAGTGTTTTATTCATATTTCCCAAGTCAGGTATTACAAAAAAATTTTAAGTACATATCTGATGTACTTTTATTAGATCTTTTTTTTTTTGGTACCAGGGATTGAACCCAAAGGTGCTTAGCCACTGAGCCATATGCCTGAACCCAGGGGCACTAATCACTGAGCCTTTTTCGTGTTTTATTTTGAGACAGGGTTTTCCTAAGTTGCTGAGGCTGGCTTTGAACTTGTAGTCCTCCTGACTCAGCCTCCCAAGTCACTGGGATTACAAGTGAGCACCACCATGCCCAGCTTTTATTAAATCTAAATACATAATAAATATATATTTTTTGAACTGAGAATTGAACTAGGGGAGTATTTACCACTGAGCTACATCCCCAGTCTTTTTATTTTTATTTATTTTTTTGGACAGAATCTCACTAAATTGTTTAAGGTATTGCTAAATTGCTGAAGCTGCCTTCAAACTTGTGATCCTCCTGCCTCAGCTTCCTGAGTTTCTGAGATTATAGGCATGTGTCAGCATTTTTTCAATTAAGCAGTATTAATAATTTGTTTTGTTAGAATGATTGAAAAAAGAGGAAATAATTTTTCCTCTAGGCTTTTTGTTCAATAGCAAAAAAAATTATTAGATTCTGTATTTAATAACAGATTTTCATTGCTACAAAAACAGTTTTTATGATTGCCAAATTGGATCTGCATATGAAAGATGGGGATTAAAGGCATCTTTACTAAGTATTTTTTTTTTTTGTACCAGGGAATGAACTCAGGGGCACTTAACCACTGACCCACATCTCTAGTGCCCTATTTTGTATTTTATTTAGAGACAAGGCTCACTAAGTTGCTTAGCACCTCACTTTTGCTGAGGCTAGCTTTCAACTCAAGATCCTCCTGTCTCAGCCTCCTGAGTAGCTGGGATAACAGGCGTGTGCCACTGCGCCCAGCACTAAGCAGTTTTTAACTGCAGGCTCTAAAGAGGATAATAGTGAATGCTTTGGAAAGTATTCATTTATTAACTCAGAAACAGCATTTGAAAATAAAATAAATTTAAATATTAAGTAAACCAGCTAGAAAATAATTCATTAAGAGAATTTTCTTACTTTACTTTTGTATTCAATTTTAAATGTTTAGTAAACTCCCAAGTATTTTTATGAAGCTCTTTTGTGATTGTAAAACATTTATCAACTCATGCTTGTTATTTAACCTGGCACATTATGACAAATTTATCCTAGGTATTCAAGTATAATCTTCTACTAAATTGCAAAATTACATTTTCTATAAGTAAGTTGTATCTAAAATGATAGATTATAAATAATATTTTAAATTGCTCAATCTCAAGTTTAGTGGAAGATTTCTCACAGCAAATACTTTTTTTCATTAGACCTTAAAATCATATTTTACATTTTCTAAAGCTTAGTAACAGCTGCAAATATTTGTCATATTGTATGTTCAGTAAGCACTCAGAATTTACAGGCAAAACAGGAGGCATCTCAACAGATTATGATGAGAACTGAAATTGATTCAGAGGGCGTGGACTGTAGTCCTGAGCTGCCATTCATTCACACATCCTCATTCAATCATCAGTTGACAGCACTGTGCTAGGCACTAAGAACACTGTGGTGTACAAAACTCACATGATCCCTTCACTCTTGGGGTTTCCATTCCAGTAGAAGAGGAAGACATTAAGATGTAAGCAACGTGAGGCTGGGGTTGTGGCTCCGTGGTAGAGCGCTTGCCTAGCATGTGAGAGGCACTGGGTTCAATTCTCAGCACCACATTAAAAAAAAAAAAAAAAAAAACTAAATAAATAAAATAAAGTCACTGTGTCCATCTACAACTAAAAAAATATTTAAAAAATATAAACATAAATGTGTATGAAATTATAATGGGCATTTAGTCCAATGAAGGAAAAGAATAGATTATTATAACAAAGTTGTATGGAAGCTGAATTCTGAAGGGTCAGAGTCTGCCAGAAGACTAAGGGAAGGAAACTTCTGTGCAGAGAGAACAACATGAAACTCACCAGGCTGTGTGACTGGAGCACAGTGATGGAGAGGTAGATATGAGAGATGTGAGCCAGTGGAAACAAGAAAATTCTGTTCTCTCACAGTCATTTTCCTCCACTTAAAAACAGATAAGTTCATTTGATGTTTTCTAAACTCCTTTCTAGCCATAAAATTCAGCTATTATTCTGTAACCCTGGAGGCAAGATCCTCTACAGAGCTTTGCTGTCATGAATTCTGAAATTCAAACTACAGTGGGATTCCCAGAACTTATTTGGCCATCACATTTTAAGAGAAAAGTGGATAAATAGCATGTGCCCTAAAGGCCTCCTATGGTGACCAATTTTCCTAGTTGGCCCAGGATTGAGCAGTTTCTTAGGATGAAGAACTTTCAGTGTTCAAATCAGGACAGTCCCAGGAAAACTGTGTTGGGAAGGAACTAAAAGCCAAGCCATTCAAGGACTAGAATGCTTAGATTGAAGACATGTTCTCTCTGTATCTCTGCAGACACTTATTTATTACAATAATCCTGGAAAGATGCTTAGACTTCACTATATTGATTTTTTGTTTGTTTGTTTCTGACAAAGCCCATGACCAACAATCCTACATTTTATTTCTGTGTGCCTAGGTTCTTCAAAGAAATTTGAAGAATCCTGACAGGTGACCTGTTCTGAGTCCTGTGATACAAAGCTATGTCGCTAACTCCCTTTTAGTATAAAATCTTCTCGAGTATATTTCCATTCACTCACAGAAACACACTCTCACACAGAGATACTCACACCCCCTTTTGCTTTGACAAACTTTTTTTTTCTTCTTGGAAACTTACAGATTGAGGCCCGACTTGCTACTGGTCCTCAGTAGGTAAGCCTTAGCATTCTGAATGGCAATCTCAAGCATGCTGGGGGCCACTTCTGAGGCCCCAGGCTCCAGCTGCAGAAGATCACAATTACTGTTTGAATCTTCTTCCTGAAAAACGTCAAATCTCAGCTCTTTTTGTTTAGAGGTATCATAGCTTGGGTCCTTTGGCCCATATAGATCAGATTTGGATTGCTGAGACTGTGGAAAGGTGTTTTCCTCCAATTGTCTTGTGCGATGAAAAGTTGATTCTCTCTTGTCAGATGGTTGTTCCAAAGGATCAGAAACAAGTGTCCCAAAATTAGGAATTATACTAGTGGTCCTGTCTGACTGCAGTGGGATCCCAAGATCCTGCTCCCCCAGAGTCAAGGGAGGAGTGGAAGAAGGCTGCTGAGGAGGGGAATGGGGAGGTAATGCCCCTAGTTCTGTGAGATCTCCCAGAACCATGCTGGCTCTGGACCGGGGGCTCCAAGGAGGGCTTTTGCTGGGCTGGGGTCCAGTTTCTGGTGCCTGCTCTGCCTCCAAAGGCTCAGATGACTGAGGGTCAGGGACTTGGGGAGAAGCTGCTGTCTTTTCTTCCCATGGCCCCTCTACTTCCTTCAATTCGTGGTTTTCTTTTTCTTGCTTCAGGGAAGTCGAGTCTTCCATGGAAGGAGACAAGAGAAAAAAAGGTCTGGATGAAATGGGTGTGAAGATATGGAAGAAGGCAATGCAAGGCTGGTGTTTGCTGAGGTCTCTTAGGTGATCTGTGGGTCACAGCTGCTCTGTAAGTTGCAGCGTCCTGTCTCCATAGCAACCCCGGGCAGGGTTCCTTAAGAAAAACAATACAAGTCAGTTGCCAGGATTCTAGGGAGGAGCCCAAGAAACATGAAAATCCTAGGTTTGTGATTTGATGGAGTCCCTGCCCCTCTATCTAGCTCAGCCAATCCGAAATGGACTCTGTTTGGAAACCCGAGAACTCCAGCTTCTGTGTCTTGATCATTTAATGAAAGGATTGAAGGTGCCGTGCAGGAAGGAGGGTTTTAAGGTCTGATAGTTTGATAGCTGTGAGGAGTTAACAGGCTTTAGCGAAGGGAACTTGCATTTAGTCTGTGAGTAGGGATGCACGAGAGAGACCGAGAACGGAAGAAAGGTAGGAAATTAGGGGGGCAGAGAAGGAGGGAGGAAGGAAAAGAAAGGTAGGAGGATCTTTGGGAATCCTGTAGGTGCAAGTGACAATGAGACCCTGCGGTGTGGACGGAGGGATTCCAAGACGCAGACTGCATGGATGTCTCGTTTGAGACTCACATTTATAACGCATAGAAGATGACTCATTGTGCCAACCAAACAACTCTGGAGACTTTTGGAGAATAAACAAAGAAGGCTTGAGTTTTGCTCTTTTGTTTTATTAGGAATCTGCCTGTGAGTTCACAGAATGTTATCTTCAAGGAGAAGGCAGTGCAGAAAATCACCCTATATAATACAGTTCATGGATTACCTATTGCCTAATAATTGAAATTAAAATTAACCCTAAAATCTGTCAACATAATAAATCTTTACTTGATAATATAAATACCAACTCATAATTTTGCAAATGGTTTTAGATCATGATTATGACTATTTGTATATAGTCTTCAACATGAAGAAGGTGTACAAGATTGGACCATATCTTGTACTATCCTGTCTTGACTATTAGCCATACATTAATTTAATAGTTTTAATTCTACATTGCTCTTTTTTATAAACCAAACAGTACTTGGTTTTAATGTTTTACAATGACATGACTTCTATTTCACAATGATGATAAATTCTTCCTTCATGTAAGAACATAATATTTACTCCTCCACACCCAGTTTAGAGGGGGAATCAAAAGTCCTTCAATAATTTGATATATCTGTGGATCTTTTCCCCTGTGGATCTGCACTGCCTTCAAAATACACAATAAAGCACACTTAAAAAAATGTTCCATATAATTCCTGCTGATTCAGGGACTCCTTAAATTTAGATACTCTAGATTTAGAACATTTAGAATTTTAAAAATGAAACCAAAGGTTAAGATAAAT